ATTTTCATCACGCTGTGACGAAAAGTGAACTTTTCGGCACGCTCCGCGTGCCTTAAAGTCCAATTTCCGCCACATTGTGATGAAAAATATTGTTCGTAACTCGTGAAAAAATGTTTTTTAGCTCGTGGGATTATATCACTCGCCTTCGGCTCGTGATATAAACCTCCCACTTGCCAAAAGACACTTTTTTGCACTCGTTACGAAATATACTATTTCTCGTATCAAGGAAATCATCATTGTCAAAAGTAATTTTTTCTCTGAGTGTACTTAACCGATCATATTGAGCCCATAAGAGCCCATCGAACAACCAAAACGTAACCATTCGAAAGCCTGCCATCAATTAATTGATGACAAAAAAAGATGAATGCCCTTTTGCGTCGAAAATGTTCAACCACACAATTGCATTCACCTACTTGTTTTCTAATTTGATTATTTTATTTCATAGGAAATGGATCGTTGGAAATTTTTTAAATGAAAAATCCAAATTCTCAGACCATGTCAACAAATAGAACAATGGTGAGTCAACAAATTGATGATCCAACTAAAATAACAATGATGGTAATCCTTTATGAATCCTTGAAACTGGAGAAAAACCGCGAAAACCATTTTGCAAATATCACCAGAATCAAAAACTTCCTTCAGAAACATTCATTCAAGAAATTCACACATCTCACTCTTACATACATACAACACGTCGCGCGTTACTTTGTAATATTTGATCCGATTACACAAAGAGAAATGTTCAGTAAAAATTACGGAACTCACAATTCGCTCACCGATTACGGAATCGCCTCATAAAATTTAAGTGACGGTATCGTAATTTTTTACAGGAGATTCCGATAAAAATTACGGAACGCTCTGGAAAAATTCCGTGACAGTTCCGTAAAATTTCCTACAACTACATTTCGCTCCGAAATTACGCCAAAGATACGAAATTTTTATCGAATATTTCTCTTCGCGTACGAATACGAATTCAGTCTGGCACTAACCGTCTGATACTCAACAAGTCGACCATCTGACCTACTAATACTTTTTGTATATATTTCTTGACGCGATTGAATAAACGACAATCAAGTTAAACGAATTATTAATTAGTGGATTGATTATTCTTGCCGACACGACTACCGTCGATCCCTAGGGGACGGTGGGGCAAAATGAAACACGGGGCAAAATGAAACAGCAAGAAAATCTTGTGATCTAAGGGAGATAGGACGATTTTCATGAAAACCTTTTTTGTAGAGAATTTTACAAGCTACAAAAAAGGTCCCCTTCAAAAATGTCCTATCTCCTTTAGATGATGAGATTTTCCCACTGTTTCATTTTGCCCCGTGTTTCATTTTGCCCCATGCTCCCCTAGATCTTGACATTTCCCTGTAAATTAGTCCCCAGAAACATAGTTTCCATAAAATTTATGGACGTCCTCTTCTCAGTTAGACTTTACAATTAATCTATCTCAGTAATGATCTCAGGAGGGATCAAACGATCCGTTTTGTAAATAATTTTATACATACTCGCGATGCTTCTCTAAATCCACCAATTTTGAAGACATTTCCAAAATAATGAACATGAAATTTTTCTTGCATCACTTTCCTATTGGATTTGATGGCTAATCTTGAGATCGCAAAGAGATCCCTCTTCTAAAAAACTTCATGGTCTAAAATAATAGATATCCAAAAGAAAGTAGAATAGAGTCTGCATCATTTTATTACTGAAATAATCATGAAACAATGACCGAAATCTCTAACTTCAGGAAGAAAACTTTGTCAGCGTAGTGCTGAAAGAAGAGTCCGACCGCCTTCTACCCACTTCCTACATTGAGGACATCTGTGCCTCGACCTTCGAGAAAGTGTTCCTGCCTATAGAGACCCAGGAGGTCGATTTTCCCAATGAAATGGTGATGATAACATAGAGTATGACTGCTTTCTACTTCTCCAAGTCCTCGACTTCTCTCACTCACTTCCCCTCGGCCACCCCTGCAGCCCCTCTAAAAAAAAAGTCTTTCTTCCAGGTGAAATTAGATTTAGAGGATCAAAACGCCCACCACACTTGGGTCTCCCAGATTGCCAGCACGAGTTCCTCCTTCAGACTCCACATGAACCACCAAGTAACTCCAAAAACGAAAGAAGATACAGAAGAGCAAGATGAAGATAAAGAGGAAAGACGAGGAGGAGGCGAACAACGCCTACAAAAACAAGAAATACTGAAAAAATTCGAGACACGTACTAAACTGGCCAAAAAATTGCGAATAACAGTTCCAGCTACGAACATAGAAGAGGCTCTGACCCACGAGGGCTACCCCAGTATTTCCCACACCTCAAAATTCTGCAAGATCCAGTGTTCACTCTGCAACAAATGGTTCCTAAACAATGAATCAATGATAGCCCACCTCCGCTCCCACTCGTCCTCCCTCATCTGTCAAATTTGCCAGGAGATCTTCTCAGACGATCATGCCCTCTACTCCCACATGTTGAAGCACATGGAGACAAAAATCCCTACCCCATCTGTCTCTTCGAAGTCTCCCCTGGAATGTGGAATCTGTAGCAAAGTATTTTCCTTCAAAAGTTGTCTTCGAAGTCACCTACAGGCACATTTGACTCAGTCATTAACCGACTATTGTGCCTGCCATCATGATCATAATCTCCAAGAAGATAATGATAAAGCCTCCTCTCCATCAAATACCTCTTGTAAACTCTGTGAGCAACACTGCAGAGAAGAAGCACCAGGGAAAAGCAAGAAATTAGACTCAAGAGAGCATAAAAATAATACCAAAAATAAATCGCAAGCAGTGAAACCGTTTCGTTGTGCTTTGTGTCCCCTGTCTTTTGCCCAGAGGACACCATTGAAGAACCACATAATGACTCACAGTGAGGAGAGGCCCTTCGCCTGCACAATCTGCGAGAAGACTTATAAAAGGAATTCAGAATTGATTAGACACACGATGGTGCACACTGGAGAACGTCCTTATGAATGTAAAGAGTGTCTCATGACGTTCAGGGAGAAAACCAAGTTGAACTCTCACATGGTGGTGCACACAGGTGAGAAGCCCTTCGAGTGCCACATCTGTCATAAATTCTTGGCGAGAAAATCGGACTTGACGAGTCACATGTTGTCTCACACTGGGGGACAGTACGACTGTAAGATATGTGAGAAAATATTCACCAGAAAGTCTGATCTTAATAGACACGTGTTAGTGCACACTGGCGAAAAACCATTTGCCTGTGATTTCTGTGATATGGCCTTCAGGGAGAAGACGAGGCTCAATGCTCACCTGGTGATGCATACTGGGGATAAGAGGCATGCTTGTAGAATCTGTGAAAAGAGGTTCAAGGATAAGTTGGGGTTGAAGAAACATATGATTGGACATGCCGGGGATAGACCCTATGTGTGTTTTATTTGTAAGAAGAGTTTTAAGATGAAAAGCACGTTGGTTAGTCATGTGCAGGTGCATGAGGGGGAGGGAGAAGAGGAGTATAGGAAGGATGAGGAGAGTTTTGAGGATGAGGGAATCTTGAGGAAACATTTCCTGGAGCTCGTGGGGGAGAAGGAGAGGAAGAAGATTAAAAGTGAAGGAGATGAGTTCGAGGATATGGGACAGAGCAGTGCGTGAACATTTGGAATTTTTGGACTTTCGAGTTTTTTTACGGCGAAAGGTGTGATTTATTCAGTAGCGAGAGGCGATAGGACAATGAGGTGAATTAGTTTCATTTGAAAATCAGTTTTTGAGAAATATCTTTGAACAGAAGGAAACTGGCAAATACCTTGGAAAGGTTGTTTTTCACTGAGAGAAAAACGAACAAGTTGTCAAACGAGTCTTATTTGGGTCAACAAAATCGCTAGTTGAAAATTACCAAAAAAATAATGGTTTGGTTCGAATTTAAAAGTCTCAAACATGAATAGGGTGAACAGGACAATTGCTGGACGGTTAAGGGAAGTTCGAGTTTTGTGGTAGGATCTAAAATAAAAGAATCACCTAAACGGATTCAAAATAAAGGATTAAATTGAGAAATAGATGAATGCAGCCGAAACCCATAATTTCTGGACCACTGGCCATATTTTTTTATTTATTAAATGTCGATCAATAGAAAAAATAATTGATCACACGATTATGCACGAATAATATTATTGAAAGATGAAATAATCAGTACAATGTTCATTTTATTATTTATGGAATATTCAATGCAAGTTGAAATTGTCCAAAAATTAACCAGCTTATTCTAATTGCTCTGCTTTTAACGACAACGAAATATTTGCCTTTTCAGGATAAAATATCTTTTATACAGGGCAGTTTATTGAGAAATATTTAGTCCCTAAGTTACAAGATTGCTCTCATATCATCATTATTATTTCACTTAAGAATTTATTTTTTGTCTGTGATTATTGAATACCTAACACGAGAAATTACTATCCCTCGTTTCATGCACAAAGAGCACTTGCCGGGAGCAAAATAAATAGGGGAGCATCGAACAACGAAGTAGTGCTAGAAATTACATTTTTTGCTTGCAGAGAGAATGAAATTTTTTTGAAAAGGCTAAATCCATTTTTGCTAATGGAATATGGGTGCAAGTGAATAAATAAATGTGGCAAAGCAATGAGATACTTTATAATAATCTCTTTATTTGCACGAGGAAGGCACGTCTGTACTAGAAGACTGTTCTGCTGACACCGAAGGCGATAACCAAGTGAAAACTTTCACTGGGAAAATGAAAAACAAAATAATAAAGTTTTATGTCAAGAGGATACAATCCTTCTTCAAATTTCAGAATATGTTTAGGATTAAACTGCTCTCGAGTACGGAGCACAACGGATCCTAAATTAGTCTTTTTCTAGAACTTTTTTCCCATTATGTCATAAATCTTTGTCAAGCAGTTTTTGTACAATAGAAAAAGAATATTTACAATACAATAGAAAGAGCTGTGCTCGAATATTCCAACATTTGCAATAAAAATTTTCAATCTCGGCGCATGCTTCACATCTTTGGCACAAAAAAATCCTTTTTTGATCATTTTTAACAAACGATTTTTTTGGCACAAGTAAGACTTGTTTGAGACCTCTGCCGTTTTTTTCTGTGTTGTAGAGACATTTTAGGTCCAATTTTAAAAATGTCTACTAAAATACGGGACTTGGATCCAGATTATTTTTCACTTTACTATTGAATCGAATGCTCTGAATAAAAATGAGAATCATTTTGAAAAATCATGTTTCGAATAATTGGATGAGTCTGAAAGTATAAATGAGAATTCTAGGCTGTTTATAGTTCATTTAATTTCATAAAGAGGGAGGGAAGATTGTCTTAGCTATTTTGTAAATAATTTTATGTGAGTGTAACAATTAGCAGATTATTGTACAAAAGAATTCGCAGATTTTGTATTGGAATCCGCATGAATATTATTTAGGGGATTCTCATAAATTATTCATATTTAGTTGTATCTTTGGAGAATCATTTGGAGTGTGAAGTAACTATAATGATGCAGTTTTCTCATCAGTCATTTTCCGAGAAGAATTTACATATTCCAATGATTTTTCGGTAAACTCTGATTAGGCCTTTTTTCGTTCTCTATTCTTTCTTGTTTTTGAATAATTCAAAATTTATTAAGTTAGTTTGGTATCTGCAAGTTTCCGAATACTAATGGATTTTTTAATTTTAGTGCCCATAGGAGAGATAAATCAATTAAAAAAATCATTGGGCAAGCAAGGTTACTTGAGTAGAAAATGTAATAAATTATTGTACAGATAGATTCATATATTCTATGTGATTTCAATAAATATCAGTCAGTGATACGAATGATCGAGGCTTTGTTGTACCCTTGGAGAGCCAGGATTTCCCCTTGTGGACTCCATTTGGAGTTCAATACTTTCATGGCTTTGGGGGACTCTAAACAAGTGGCTGTTGTTCTTGGTCTCCACTCAAAAATCAAAGACGATTCGGACGAAACCAGAAGACGAATTTTGTTCGGTTCCCAAGAAATTCCTAAAACGTAAAATAAACGAATCTTGACATTCCACAATCAATTTAGAATACTCGTTCGAATGATTGAAACTTCTCTTTTACCGGAGATGGAATTTTTTAATAAAAGGTAATCAACACAGTCATCCACAAGATCCCAGATCCATACAGTGGTTGGATACAGCTGATGCCTCACAGCTAAAAACCTCCCACAAGGACTAAACTCCATAATATCAATCGCAGCGATTGTTACGTCCCAATTTATCGGTTTAGTGTCGATTTGAATGTTGATAGGTCTTTCATTGATTTCCTGCACTGCAAAAAAAAAAATCATTCTCATTGTCGATATATTTGCAAAAGTTTTCGTAGTTGAATAGTGGGAATTATTTGAAAAGATTTTTTACCAAATCTATTGAAAATTCAGGTTTACCAAATTTTGTCACATGAAAAATTCCGAGTTTTACTAATTTTTTTCACATAAATCACTGTACATTGAAGATACTTGCAACAGAGATTATAAACAAATATTGAATCTATTGCGTATGACCACTGGATTCCATGGATCGTCAATTTTTAACGATCAGTAATAATAATGATTCAATACGTACTTTTGTATCTGATATGCTGGTCAGGAATGGAAACTAAATTGATATCAGTCGCCCAGTCTCTCCTTTTCACTTCAATTTCTTTGAATACTTTTCCAAGGTAATTACTCTCTCTTATAACCGGATCACAGTATAATGATAGAATTACGGTCCAGGTGACGTGATTAATAATTGCAACCTGTGAATTTTGTTATAACAATTATTTTATCAGAAAAGTCATTGAGCAAATGCCTCGTCAACAACTCCTTTTTTTCACTTGTATCGTAATATACTATTAGATAATTCCTCGTGAGCAACTCCATCCACTCATTATTTTTCGAATCCAACATGGGTTATAATAGGAAAGTGCCATTCCTCATAAAAACATAGTGAAAAAAACAAAACGAAATGTATGAATTATTTTTAAATTTAAACAATACTGCGTGAAATTCCCTAAACCAACTCATTAAAAAATTTTATCGTCACATTGAAAAAAAAAATTTCTCGCTGTGACAGAAAGGATTTTAATGCTCCTAAGTTGTGCCAGAAAATTTTGGTCAACATTGGTAAACGAGAACTCGAGATACCATCGAATTTGAATTTTCGGAGCTAAGTATCTCCCTCATCTGGCATTCTGCGCATTTGTGTTCGATTCTCGTTCGGCAATCTTCGATTTTTTTAATGCATTTCCTCTGGAATTCGTGTTATCTGGTATTTACTGAGGATGAGAGAGTAACAATCTATTGCCATTTCACTAGAGAAATCTGTTCATTGTGAAGGATATATTTGTTTTACAATTTTACCGTCTCATTATATCCGGCGATAGCTAATAATTGACCTCCGGGGCTCCACACCACTTTATCAATCCCCTTAACATTCTTTTCCCCAGCAATTTTGCTAATGCCATTCGATAATCCATTCTTATATTTATCCGCCTCACTGAATGCTCCTATGTGCGAGTCCGTCACGATAGAATAGACCAATAGTTTCGATTTCTCAATAGTGGAACACCAAATCGCCAATAGTTCTCCATTGGGGGACCAGGACACTCCATCGATTCCGAATAATTTATCACACATCAATTTCTGAAACAAAAGAATGACGAAAAAGTGGAAAAATCACCGGTAAAATGTTTAAATGTGAAATTAACTTAATAATGATCAAGTTTCCGAATAATTCAGTAGCGAAGTGGTAAAACGGTTTCAGTCGACTTATCTCCCAGTTGAGTTTTTAAAGAATATTTCGGAATCGAAGGTCGATAGCGAAATTTTCGTAATTACATTTGTTGTAGCGCTCAATCGGCTCCATAAAAAAGTTTATAATAACAATTTTGCTATCACTTCGCTACTGAATTTTAAACGGCCTAAGCAATATTTTAATTTTTCGGTTTTTTATGGCAGTGTCTATTCGCACGCTCCACGGTAGATTCTCACTCATCTTATCTGCCATCTCTGCTATGAACTTTGGTTTTGAACACTGGAAGTAGAATTCAAAACCAGAGTTGTGACAACATTGTCGAGTGGGATCTAGGAGTCCCCGCCGGTTGGGAAATCACTCTTAAAATCATTTGCACTATATTTCGGAATATATAGTTTCGTAAAAGACTATTTATTTCATTTTTTATTTGCGTTTATTCAACTATTTATTTCATTTTTTATTTGCGTTTGATATTCTGATATTCTGATACTGATATTCGTATTCAGCGAATTAATATTTTGAGAAAATTATTTACTAGTCTACTATCTGCATATCACTTATCAGTTGATTCGATGTGTCTAGTTTATTGTCTAGATTTAATTTGAGAAGTAAAAGTTGAGGGTCCACGATCTCCCGTATATCCACGATAGAAATTACCTTGAATCCACGAGAAAACGTCCCGTATATCCACGGTCCAAGTTACCGTGAAGCGTGTGAATAGACACTGCCGTTTTTCATTAAAAAGTGAAAACTGAAAATATCTCGGAAACTTTGTATGAACGGGTATATATATTTTGATTGACTAAGATGACATCAAGACGAATACTTTGCAAAAAAAATTGAAATCGGTTGATTAGTTTTTGAGATATTTGTGAAAAACGTTTTAGAAACAAATAGCGAATCTCAAAAACGGCTGGATCGATTGGGCTAAAATGGAGCACACAGTTAGTTCTCATTAATACCTATAACCTGACAAAATTTCAGATTTTTTAAGAATTATTTTAGTCCTTTAATTTTTCAATTTTCTTAAAGTTGACCCATACATACACGCGGGTTGGTCAAACGTCGTATTTTTACATTTCAGACCATTCTATTATACATCATTTCCACCGACGGCGGTGGCGGTGTCTTTGCTTTTTTTTTTTGAGCGCACTCAACACCGACACATAATGCTTTATAAAGGAACAAAAATTATCATAAAAATATCGCTATAGGAACATATTAATTAAAAACAATATACTGTTTAAACCCGAGAGCCACTAAGTGGCCAAAGTTTAAAAAAATGCGATAACGAACGTTAAATTTTTTTATATCTCTGTTTTTTTTTATGTAAATAAACTGTAAATAATTGTAAATATCTTCTGTACTAGTGAATAAAAACAAGGTTAAACAAAAAAAAACGGCGGTGGCTGTATGGTTGGAGTGTGGGATTGGCATGCGGGAGACCCCGGTTCGATTCCCGGCTGAGGGGGCCAAAATTTGTGACACTCTAAATCTCACGGTTTCATTGTCGAGCGGGAGTCTCGCAAGAGACGACTGTACCTGGGCAGGTTTTTCCCCTCAAATGAGTTTTTCCCTTGTCCTTCGGCGAATGCGGTAGAGGGGGCTGGGGGGTGGGAAGGGAACAAATCGTAAAGACCCGAAAGGGTATACGAGAAGAAAAAATTCATTTCCCTGCAAAAATTAGACAAATTAAAAATAGACCGATTCCAATGCTTCCATGCGGAAGCAAAAAGAAACAGGGCATTGACGCATAAAGTAACGGGAAAATGTCTTCTGTCGGACAGATTCTGTACCCCCCCCCCTGTTTCCAATGACTTTCATCGAATTGAGTATGAAAACCTTCATAATTTATAATCAACGAAATCAGAGACTGCTCCGCCTGACAACTCCAGTTTTTTAATGTTACCTGTAATTCCCGCGCATTCTTCCACCATCTGTGAACCACGTGACAAAAATGCCAGTGTGTGCTCCGAAACCACACGAGCAGCAGCTAGGTTATCCCACGTCGTAAACAACAATAACCACCAGAAACTAATTGAAGAAACCCAGGCAAATGAGTGAGTAATTTGATAATTTCCAATTGACAAAAACTGGAAATTATTAAAAACGACTCAAGATGTCAACGACTTATATATCATGCGCCTGCAACTCTCAACCCCGCGCGGTAGACTGGGGCACAAACGGTCTCGTCTGCTATGGATACTCGAACTCCATCGCAATTTACGACCCGAACGTGGAGACCACCGGCAAAGTCCTCCAAACACTGCACAAGCACTCCTCTCAGGTGAAAGTGGTCCAATGGATCGAAACAGATCGAACCACTCCAGAAACCGAGATTCTATCAGGTTCTCGAGACGGTTCTGTCATCGTCTGGAGCAAAACCCCCGTGACATTCACCCCAAACATAACTATAACCCTGGGAGATCAACTGACAACAGCGCACGCAGCTTATCTCAACAGCAACGAGGAAGATCGAAACGAAGAGAAAGGAGAAAATCGACCTCTGCTGATTTGTGCCTCGTCCTTCAAAGAAATCTTCTCGGTCTGGCTCAGAACCTCCTCTGGGACCATCTCAGACAAACAAACACTCGACCTGAAGGGAAAAATCCCCACAGAAGCTAGAATAACTCACCTCCCAGGACCACGAAACACACCAGCACTGATTATTGTAATGGACGACGCAACGATTCACCTGTTCACGTGGAGCAGGCCTCCAGCAAATTCTGGTCCCCCCAAACTGAACTTCCAGTTGTCGAAGCAACTCACGGGGCATCAGGACTGGATCCAGTGCCTCGACATCATGCAGATTTCCCCAACAGCGTCCCTTCTGGCGTCAGGATCTCAAGACGGAACGATTCGTTTGTGGAAAATATCGATATCTTCTCAGGAAAAACCTCCAGAGGATCGGGTAAACGAATTCACAGTGGAGAATCAACTGTTCGAGGTGACTCTGGAGTCTATTCTGAGTGGTCATGAGCATTGGGTTTATGGGGTACACTGGCATCCGCCAGTTCTGATGGACGGGGAGTGGAGGAGACCAAATAAATTACTATCGAGTGCTTTGGATAAAACTATGATCATCTGGGAGCCTAATTCTGCTGGAGTTTGGATGGAAACCGTTCGATTGGGGAAAGTGGGGGGTAATACGCTGGGATTCTATGGAGGGAAGTTCAATGGAGATGGAACGAGTGTCCTGGCTCATGGGTATCAAGGAACGTTCCACATGTGGCGGTTTGAGGAGGAGTTGAAGAGGTGGAACCCCAGGACTGCACCCAGTGGACATTTTTCTGACGTCAGTGATCTGCATTGGGATCCTGAGGGGCGGTACCTCATTACCACGAGCTTGGACCAGACGACGAGGGTCCATGTCCCCTGGAGGAAATCAGGGAATTCTGAAATTTGGCACGAAATTGGGAGGCCTCAGATTCATGGGTATGATATCAATTGTCTGGCGGTTCTGTCCCCTCATTTGTTCGCTTCGGGGGCAGAGGAGAAAGTTGTGAGGATTTTTGAGGCTCCCTTGTACTTTAAGAAGTGTTTGGAGGGGTTGGAGTGGAGGAATCCGAGGAGCACTGGAGATCGAGCTTCGGTTCCTGCTTTGGGGCTGACGAATAAGGCTGTCGACGGAGAGGGGATTGATGACGAGGTGGAGGGTGATGACTTGAGGGTGGAGAGACCGCCCACGGAAGAGGAGATTGTTAGGTAGGTTGAGGTGGTAGTTCTTGTGGTTTTTGATGTGCAGAATAATTTGCAGCTGGTAATAGAAGGGTTGTAGTGTAACGTCGTTGCTCAGAATTTTGACGTTACAACGAAGAAAAATTGAAGAAAAATGACCGTTTCAACGCGATTGAGTCACTTCGTTTTTTGATAAATTTGATGTTTTCGAAAAGTAATTAAGGATATCCAAGTATCTCTCAAAGTTTGGTACAGGCTGCACTGTAAATTCAATCATTTTCAATCACTAAATTTGTCAGTTAAATTGCGTGAGAAAAATTTGACAAAAATCATGAATATTCAGCGTCATTCAAATTATATTTTGCGTAGAATTTTTTTTAACATTCGTTGTTTGTACATAAATAATTGAAATTGTTTAAATTTTCAGAAACCTTATTTTGTTAGAGAAATCGATGATGAGAAAATAATTTGAAAATTGAAATTTTTGAAAATTGCGAGCATTTTCTGTGAATAATTAACAAACAATCAATCGGGGATGGCCATCAATATTAGATTTTTTCAGTATTAACAGGATTTCCGAGTTACATTGATAAAGGTTTAAATATGCTCATCACAATTTTAAAATAATATATTATTAATAATTTAAATTTCCGATTGATGATGAATTAACTATTTGATAATATGGGACTGTAAATTTTCCGTTAAGTAAATAATTATAACTTCGTAAAAGGGATTTTCGATTAATAAAATAATTCGGAATTCGAATATTTAAATTGATGATTACTCAAATAATTAAAGATTTAAGAGTGATGTTAACTAATTGACTTCAAACTTTAACGGTAATTATGATTTATGAATATGGCTATCCCTGCAATCAATTTTCCACGATGAAAATCATTTGCTCGGTATCGTAACAAACTTATTCATATTCAAAATTTTGCCATAAATAGATTTCATCTCTAAAAAAAAAAGATTTCCGAAAGTTTGAACAATTTCAATTACTTATTTCTGAACAACGAATGTTTAAAAAAATAATAATTGTGTACAAAATGTAATGTGAATGCCACTGAATCACTGATTCACGATTTTTTTCAATTTTTTCTCACGCAATTTAATTGACAAATTTGATGATTGAAAATGGATGATTGAAATGAATCTATAGTGTGGTCTCACGTACTCTGTATGAAATTTATTTTTGTAAATAGCCCTTTGGGTTGATACTTACCAATAGAAAAAAAAATATAAAAAAATAGTGTGGTCTGTACCAAACTGTAAAAGATACTTGGATATCCTTCCCATATAAATTCATATATTATTTTGGGTGCCACAGGTACACACTGTGGCCAGAGTTGGAGAAACTGTATGGCCACGGCTACGAAATATTCGCGATGGCAGCGAGGCGCGATGGAAGGATACTCGCGACTTCTTGTAAATCAGCCAATGCTGAGCACTCCAGCATCATTCTCTGGAGTACCAAGACCTGGGGGCAAATCCAGAAACTCTCCGCGCACAGATTGACAGTGACTCAGATGGAATTTTCTCCAAACGATCAATTTTTGATTTCTGTATCGAGAGACAGGAGATGGGCCCTTTACAGAAGTCTCCAGGATTCTAACAACGATAACATTAACTATGAAGTGATTTTAGTCAGTCCTGCTGCCAATGCCCTGCACACCAGGATAATCTGGTGCTGTTGTTGGACTCCAGACTCGAAATATTTTGCCACAGGATCCAGAGAAGGTAAAATCGGACTCTGGAATGCTGACAGTCTTTCGAAAGGCGAAACTCCTAAACCTGTGGGGAGCTTGGACCTCCAGGGTAGTTCCGTCACTGCCCTCGCCTTCCACCGAGAGATTTTAAAAGGGAATAATTATGTTCTGGCTATTGGGGTCGAAGAGGGAAGAATCGAAGTGAAGAGAATCAATTTTGAAAACAATGAAGGAAGGTTTCTGGATTGTTTGGAGCTGGACACTTCTGCTGCACATCACAGAACTGTTAAACGACTATCGTTTAGACCGAATAATACAGAAGGAGTGGTGCAGTTGGCGAGCTGCAGTTCTGATCGAGCTGTGAAGATTTACGATATAGAGATCTCAAGAATTTTGGGAGAGGATATTTAATTAATAAAGATGTTTTGTAAACTTACTCTTGTTAGTTTCCACGTCGTTGTTTCGTATATTTCGACCCAGTCCCTCCCTTCTTTTGATACTATGACTGATAACTGTCTGTGGGGAATGTTGAGGGCGATGTTCTGAGGCGTTGAAGATTTCAAACTCCAGATATTCGTTAAATTGTGGTCGTCTAATGTCCAGACTGACATATGCACCTGAAGAATTGATTGGAAGGCGATTTTGTAATAAATCAGAAGGGAAATTGATGGGGGAGAGGGTGAGATTATTCGAGTTTATTCATCAATTTTATCTAATTGTGAAATTATTTTATTTATGAGTGGTTTGACTGGAAATCATCTCTTTGTCGTAAAATAATTGCTTACTAAGATGAATGTACAAGTATTCATCACTTCACGTTTGAAATGATTAGTGTTATCACTTGATGTGTCCAATAAATTATTTTTCAAGGACAATTATCAAGACATATCTCTGATGGAAAATTATCTCTGGGGCAAAAATTATTTCTAGACCTTCTCTAAATTCACTCGTTTCCGAAATGAATGTATGATTAAGGGGAGACCGCTGTGAAATTTGAATTTGTAATTCATTAAGATAGTACGTACTTGGATTTCGTTGAAATTACAACAGATTGGGGCATACCACTGGGGAGAAAAAAGTATTTATACATGTAAAAAATCACTACTTTTTAAATCCGTCTTCGGTTTTTTTTCACATATTTCAACTATGTATTACCCAAATTTCAGCTCCATCAGTTGGAAATGGAGGCACTAGGACGTTTTCGTACATTTTGAGCCGTTCTAACCTTTCAGAATTTTTCAAAAATCTCGGAGTTGGATTTTTTCCCACTTTCTTTCACCTACAATACATATTGTAAACTTTTACAATCGTCTCTATAATACCTACTGACATTCAAATTTCACCGTGGTCCCCCCTTAATAAAAATGTCATGTTCCACCAGAATAATTGCATAATCTCACTATTGAAATATCTCAAGAGATCGATATAAGAAAAATTGTTCTGCATATAAGAGGCTTACGCTTAAATCTGAAATAATCAATATTGATCGATCGTCAGGACCCCAAAAGACCTTTTCTATTCCAGAACTTCCTTGCGTCAATTTGTATTTCCATTTTGGATGTTTAATCGAATAAACTTGAATGATTCCTTTCTTGATATTGGCGCAGAGGATCAATTGACCTCCGGGAGACCACTCCAAATACTGAAAAGTAAAAATATCTCATAATTATTGAGCGTCTATCCGAACATTCGACCCGGCCATAAACTATATCTATAATTTAGTAAGTTTTAGGAGGTGTCCGCATAAAATTTGTTCAGAAAAATGCTTTGGAGAAAATATTTGTCTGAAGAACATTTTTTTTGTGAAAAATAATTTTCAGAAGTCATTTCTTTGGGAAAAGTGTCCGATAGAATAATTCTGCCGGAAGAAGCTTAAGCAATAGCTCTTCAGAAAAATTGCCTTTTAAAATATTAATCACCATTTAATGCTCCACAATTTTAATCAATGTGTTGCAATGAATTGTATTATCAGTGTGGAATTTCCTATGTTTGACCGTTACATTTCCTATTTCAACGAGTTCAGCTAAAAGTTTTTTATTTTTTCCTGACATTCAGTTATTGTTCGGCGTCTGTGCGTTGTGAGAATTTTTTGTAATTATTCGATAATACGTTATGATTAATTACAAATCGATGAAGTGTAATCTATATATGCGATTATCAGTGCGATGTTCCAAATATTTAGTTCCCAAATATTAAATATTTTTATTCTCAATCTGTTCAGATATGATTGTGAAATTTCGAAGAACTTTGTCAACTTACTTTGCAATTTTTTCTTCCATTTTTTTTGTTGTGTAATCGATTTCTTCTTTCCATTAAATATTGTTAGTTTGTTTGCGTGGGTGCCTTCTAACTCATCGTTGGGAAAAATTTGTTTTCCAAAATGTTTTCTCCCAACATGGATTCAAAATTTAATAGAAAAACCTAGCGATTTCATTGGCAAGTTTTATAGAATTTCTATTGAACTTCCTATTAGTTTTCAGCCAATTCTATTGGAATGTTCAATAGAAAATATTCTACAGAAAAAGTCAAAAGAATTCGATTTTTCTACAGAATTTATTTTATTGGCATATTTTCTATAGAATTTCTTTAGCTCAAATTTTGCAATTTTTTTGTTTGATTTTCTTGATTACAAGGAAAGAAACGTAGAATGAAAAAAACTTAAGAAAATTGGAGCCGAGGAAATTCTATAGAAAATATCTGAAAAGAATAAGTTACATAGAAAAATCGAATTCTATTGACTTTTTCTATTGAACATTTCAATAGAATCAGGCAAAAACTAATAGAAAATTCAATAGAAACCCAACAGAATTTTCTAACGAATTCGCTAGGTTTTCACTTTTTATGAGTCATATTCTGAGATACCTAATTACCGAATTATCTCACTATAATAACTGACGTCACAAGAAAATGCATCAAAACCTTTCCTAAGAAATGTTCTAATCTACAGAAAACATTCTTTAAAAAACCGCCAATAATGAATTTCATTTGCATCCGCTGATCTTTACCTCAATGAACTCCTGAAAAGAGAACGTTTGAACGTTCTCCAGTGTCCTGCAATCCCTGAGAATCAACTCCTGTTGATGTGCAGTAACGAAATACTTGCCAGAGGTCGAGAAGCAGCAGAGATCTCGATTGATTCGAAACATGTTCGTCAATAAACGTCATCAACTCCAAAAGAACCCTTCAACCACAACAAACCTCCTGATTCCCTCCAAACTCAAAAATAATCTAACAACAATGGCTCATGTAAATTCACCCATCGAGTCTCACGCACCTCCCACCCAAACGGTTGAGAACCGCCACGTTAAGTCAGCTGACCAGTCTTGTGATAGCTGGGCAGGCTCTCTGGGTTGCTCTGGGTGGTATCCTCGAATCAGTCCAAGTCGGACGTCTTCAGTAAGTTTTCCCATAGTTTGTACCTATTTTTACTCCATCACAACAGTCCAATCATTGTTAACGGATACAGACAGGTGTCAACGATTGTCAGCGGTCTGGAAAAATAGTACGAAACAAGTGAATAATATTTAACAATCGAATTAACTGTGAAAGAAAATTTATACGAGGTGGTATCGATCGCCTCTGCGCCATCGTTTCACTTGGGGAAGAAATATCTTGGGGGATTTAATTATTATTTAACCGATGACGTGGCTGGGAGATTCGTTGTGGTTATTGTCTGGAGTTGAGAGGAATTTGAGGCCTCTCGTGGTTTTTCAGTTTTTGGAATTCATTCATGATTTTTGTGACCACTTTGCGTCCAACAGTCAGGCGCACACAGTAGGTAGAGGGCTACGCCTTCTTTTCGAACTCACGTGAATTCCGCGAGACCGATTATCATGGAGTGTGACGGATGATGGAGATGTGGAGCGGAGATTTATTTATTGTTTAGTTAAAGGGTTTAAGGTGATGGATTCAATTCTGACAGCTTTTGGAGTAGAATAGTCGATGATAATTGTTGATTTATTTGGAGCGATTATTGGGCAAAGGGAGGGGGAGGGGTCATATGATTTGAAAAACCTCGATATTTTTATGTTTTCGCAATTTGAAGAGCTAAGTTGGTTTATTTCTGTAATTATTGTTACTAGGACGGATATAGGGGCTATTTACTTTCCACATTTTTTTGGAGTAAAAGGGATAGTTCAACATTGATTCCACGAAACTGATCATCATGGAGTGTGACGAATGATGGAGATATGGAGTGGAGATTTCTTTATTGTTTAGTTAAAGGGTTTAAGGTGATGGATTCAATTCTGACAGCTTTTGGAGTAGAATTATCGGTGATAATTGTTGATTTATTCGGAGCGATTGTTGGGCAAAGGGAGGGGGAGGGGTCAAATAATTTGAAAGACCTCGATATTTTTATGTTTTCGCAATTTGAAGAGCTAAGTTGGTTTATTTCTGTAATTATTGTTACTAGGACGGATATAGGAGCCATTTACTCTCCACATTTTTTGGAGTAAAAGGGATAGTGGAACATTGATTCTACGAAACTGATTATCATGGAGTGTGACGGATGATGGAGATGTGGAGTGGAGATTTATTTACTGTTTAGTTGAAGGGTTTAAGGTGATGGATTCAATTCTGAGAGCTTTTGGAGTGGAATTGTTTTTTGTAATTGTTGATTTATTTGGAGCAGTTGTTGGTTAAAGAGAGGGGAAGGGGTCATATGATTTGAAAAGACTCAATCTTTTCCTGTTTTCACAATTTAAAGGACTAAGTTGGTTTACTTCGGTAATTATTATCTCCAACCGAAAACTCTCCAACCGATTTCAATGGTTTTTTTTTTAAATATTCCTCTCAGTGTTTTATGGTTCAATCAATCAAAATATACATACCCGGTCGTACAAAGTTTTCGAGATATTTTCATTTCTTAAATCGCAACTCTTGATTTTTCCAGTTTTAATTTATTAATCTGTTCTTTCAGGTAAATAAATCAGCAAAATGGCGGCTCGTAATTTGGCAAAGCTCGCCCATGAGGACCGGGAGGGAAAGTTCGGATATGTTTACGCAGTATCCGGGCCTGGTAAGTTCGCAAATTCCTTGTACAATACAGTTACATTGTTTATTCGAAAGTTGCAAAATTTTGTTAATTATTCAATTATAAATTTACTCGCACCAGCGTGAATTCGGGGAAAAAATAGAGACACTTTTCTTTGCATTCCAAAATAACTCAACAAAAAACTTTTCCTAATTTTTTCTCTTGAAATTGCTCATGATCGGAATAAATGCCTGATTAGGAAAAGATTAGCATTCGTTGAAACATCAATTTTTGTCAATTGAAGACATGAGAAACATGAAGAAAGAACAAATGTTTTTATTATTTTTCCCCCAATCCATTTCTATTGAAATGTTCAATAGAAAATATCTCAATAGAAAAAGCTACATAGAAAAACGAATTCTATTGACTTTTCCTATAGAATATTTTCTACTGAACATTTCAATAGAATTAGCCAAAAACAAATAGAAAGTTCAATAGAAATCTAATTACAATGAACGAAAGAAATTATTTCGACCGGTATATTCATATTGCGCCTCTGAATTTTTTAATTTGTGCATTGATATTTATTTTAATTGTTTCCCTCGTATAGAGGTTCGGAAAGTCGAAAGATAGCATTCAGCATGCTTTTCCATTCAAAATGTATGCATTAAAAACCTCTAAGATTTGACCGAGTAAATAGCCCGGGGTGATAATATAGAATAGAAATCAAATGGAATTTTCCAAAGAATTCGCTAAGTTTTTCTATTAAATTTTTTCATCCGTAAAATCGTGGCGTCATGCACGTATAAAAAAATCGTCTAGAACTATTCTATACGGATTGCGTATAGAAATTCTATAGGATTTCCGTATGTGACATTCGGATATTTCTATACGAACATTTTCTATACGAATTATTTCTATAAATAAATTTTTACATAAATTTTTGTTTTCATACGAAAGATGTCTAAACGCTCCAGAGAAAAACGTAGAGAAATGTCGCCACTCCATACAAAATGTTTCTATACATGTGGCAGTGGGTCGTATACGATCAAACCTATAGAAATCGTATAGAAATAATTTGTATAAAAAATATCCCTATAAAAATATCCGAATATCATATACGAAAATCCTATAGAAATTCTATACGCAATTCGTATAGAAAATTTCTATACGATTTTTTCATACGTGCAGGGGAATCGTACCCATGCCTGAAGGAAATACTAAAATTTTCTGCCCTTGTAACATCAATAAACATTTAATGACGCCTTGAATTGCTTGATTCACAGTCGTTACAGCAGAGAGAATGTCTGGGTCGGCTATGTACGAGTTGGTTCGTGTAGGATACTACGAACTAGTGGGAGAGATCATTCGTCTGGAGGGAGACATGGCAACGATTCAGGTGTACGAGGAGACTAGTGGAGTCACAGTGGGTGATCCTGTCCTCCGAACGGGAAAGCCACTGTCCGTCGAGCTCGGCCCAGGTATCCTGGGGAGCATTTTCGACGGTATTCAGCGTCCTCTCAAGGACATCAACGAGCTCACCAACTCGATTTACATTCCTAGGGGAGTCAATATACCCGCCCTGTCCCGTACAATTGCTTGGGAGTTTAATCCATTGAATATTAAGAATGGAAGCCACATTACTGGAGGTGATCTCTACGGTATTGTTCACGAGAACACTCTTGTTAAACACAAAATGATCCTGCCGCCTAAGAGTAAAGGAACTGTTACTTATATTGCACCTGCTGGAAATTACACAGTTGATGTGAGTATTCAGCCGAAATTTTTATTGTTTTCAAATAACTTTGAACATTGCTGTCAAATGTAGAGATTCATTTGTTGAAAAAATTTCGATGATGAGAAATAGTGAGAAAATTTCTATAAAGGCTTTTATATTTACGAATAACTAAATTGAAGTCGGTGATCCTGATGAAGACCTCGATCATGTGCTCTGGCACTGTCTCATAGATGAGCTACTCCATCCAAGGCTTTTGGCTTGAAAAATTTGAATAGAAAGGTTCTTAAGCTTATTGATTTCTTCTTGAACTCCTCTGAATTAAACATTCAAGAAAGCTATGTGAACTGATACACACAAGAACATAAAGAATAATTTTGTAAACTCATTTGTATTTTTGTATTTTTTAGCAGAATAAACCACACGGTTTGAACGCTTTAAATTAAAAAAAAACTAAATTGAAGTTTAGTTGAAGCTGTTCTACTGAGTACTTCGACGATTTTTTAATCAATATTTTCGAAAAATTAATGAAGAGATGATATTTTTAACGCTCAGAAATGAAGCATCAAAAACCAAGGGCTAGAAACTAAGGGTCACAAGGGTCAAATAACGGTCACGAGAGTTATGAGGATCAGGATAAGGGTCATGAGGGTCAGAATAAGGTTCGCAAAGGTCGGATTAAGAGTGACAAGGGTCACAATAAGGGTCTAAATAAGGGTCATGAGGGTCAAGATAAGGATTATAGGTGTCATATGGGGCTGTCTGGGTCAGAATAAGGGTCGCAAGGGGCAGATTAAGAGTCACAAGGGTCAGAATAAGGGTCCGAATAAGGTTCATGGGGGTCTAAATAAGGGTCATGTGCCTCCTAATCTAGAAAACAAACAGAAAACATAAGAACGAGAATACTAAAAATGTGGATGGGAAGCCCTTAAGGAGATCAATAACCGCAGAACCCTCACTCCATCTCCCTCTTGCTCACTTCTCCGACTCTAATAAATTTTCATAATTCAATTACCTTTCATTTTCAGGATGTAATCCTTGAAACCGAGTTCGACGGTGAACGCAACAAATACACTATGCTTCAAGTATGGCCCGTACGTCAGCCCCGACCTGTCACCGAGAAACTGCCCGCAAATCACCCACTTCTAACAGGTCAACGTGTCCTGGACTCTCTGTTTCCCTGTGTACAAGGTGGAACCACTGCAATCCCCGGCGCTTTTGGTTGTGGAAAGACTGTCATTTCCCAGGCCCTCTCCAAGTACTCCAACTCAGATGTCATCATCTACGTCGGCTGTGGTGAGCGTGGTAACGAAATGTCTGAGGTACTTCGTGACTTCCCGGAGTTGACTGTGGAGATTGAGGGAGTCACTGAGTCCATTATGAAACGTACCGCTCTGGTAGCCAATACATCTAACATGCCTGTGGCCGCTCGTGAAGCTTCCATCTACACTGGTATCACACTATCCGAGTACTTCAGGGACATGGGTTACAATGTCTCCATGATGGCTGACTCAACTTCGCGTTGGGCTGAGGCTCTTCGTGAGATCTCTGGACGTCTCGCTGAAATGCCTGCGGACTCTGGATATCCTGCTTATCTTGGTGCCAGGCTGGCCAGCTTCTACGAACGTGCGGGAAGGTTTGTTTAATCAAAATTTACACGTGTGAAAAAATTCAATAGAAAACCTTAATGAATTCGCTGAAAAATTCTATTGGAATTCTCTAGAAATTCTATGGGGATTCTATTAAAATTCTAGGGAATTCTCGTTAAAATTCTGTTTGTTTTTTTGCGCAGATTCTATTAGATATTTGATAGGAAAAAGTCAGTAGATTTCGATTTTTCTGTTTGAATTTTTCTCTTGAGGTTTTTTCTATCAAAATTATTGGACTACACTGAGAGAAAAATAAACGAGTCTTGTTTGAGTCAAGAACATCGCAAGTTGAAAATTTCCAAAAAAGAAATTGTTTGATTCGAATTTGGAAGTTTTAAACTTGGTTTACTTTACTAGATGAATTGAATTAGAAAGAAAATTATTAGAAAATGTTATAATGTTGTTTCATTTTCACACTCTGTGGAAACATTTGAATTTATTTAATGTAAAAAACATTGAGAACATTCGACTTCCGTAATTATTTCAGTTTTTCAATATTTTTATTACAATGAACATTGGAGTTTGTCGCAGATGTCGAGAGAAATATTTCCTTTCTAATCTTCAAATTGATTAATCACGTTTCTTCCTTCAATTTTCAGAGTCAAATGTCTTGGTAATCCAGACCGTGAAGGATCTGTCAGTATTGTTGGCGCCGTATCACCTCCTGGTGGTGACTTCTCCGATCCTGTCACAAGTGCCACACTTGGTATTGTTCAGGTGAGCATAAAAAAACCCAAATGAAACGCTGCGGTGAAGTTCTCGGGAAAAGGAGACAAATTCACACAGATAACTTTGAAAATATTTCTAAATAGGTATGATAATCCTCGATAAAGTGCTTTGAATCCTTCCATTTGGGAAACGATTTCCTTGTTCCTTCTGGAGCAAGAGGAGATTATTAAAAAATTGGAAATGAAGGATATCCAAGTATCTTTTACAGTTTGGTACAGAGCACACTATAGATTCAACCATTTTCAATCATCAAATTTGCGAATTAAATTGCCTGAGAATTTTTTTTTAAATAATGAGTATTCAGCGTCCAATTTTTTTTCATACTTCAGGTGTTCTGGGGTTTGGACAAGAAACTCGCCCAACGTAAGCACTTCCCGTCCATCAACTGGTTGATCTCCTACAGTAAGTATTTACGTGCACTGGATGACTTCTACGACAAGAACTTCCAGGAATTCGTGCCACTGCGTACCAAAGTTAAAGAGATCCTCCAGGAGGAGGAGGACCTCTCTGAAATTGTACAATTGGTTGGTAAAGCCTCGCTAGCGGAGACCGATAAGATTACACTCGAGGTTGCTAAGCTGTTGAAGGATGACTTCTTGCAACAAAACAGGTACTATCATTACAACAAAATCAACTATAGCCATAACAATTCCGTACTGTTTTCTCGTATAACCAATATTGTTTTTTCAAATCTCTAACAATTGGACATTTAGACAAAAAAACTATAGTGAAATGATAAACCGCAATAGGCCAGGAGTGTTTTTCAAGAATATCTCTCAAGCTTTGGAAGACCGAAATTGTTTCAAGAACCTTTCTCATCTTGAAAATCGTATATTCCTTCTTAAATTTCTATATCTTCCTCATGTGTCGAAATATAAAACAAAATAATTCAGATGTGGAATTAAGTTATCTGATTTAATCGCTTCCTCTCTTCAGTTATTCGCCCTACGATCGTTTCTGTCCATTCTACAAAACTGTGGGCATGCTGCGAAATATGATTGCCTTCTACGACATGGCAAGACATGCAGTTGAATCCACAGCACAGTCTGACAACAAAATCACTTGGAACGTCATCCGTGACAGCATGGGAAATATCCTGTACCAACTCAGCTCTATGAAATTCAAGGTAAACCTTTATCTTACCTTTAAACCCTGCATTAGAGAAACATCGGAACCGTTCAACTCTGCATGTCTCATCTGCGTAATTACGAAATTATGTCGTTCAGGGGAGACTGCATTCAGAGAAACACGACAGAGTTCTCAAACAAGTCTTACTTGTGTCCAAAAAAAGTTATTTTTTTCACTTTTTCACTCAAAAAATGATTTTTTTGTGCAAAATATACAAAACATGCGCCGAGACTAAAAATTTTTATTGCAGAAAATGGATTTGATTTTTGAAAAACATTTTATTCTCTATGCAAGCAAGAAATGTAATGTCTACTACTACTCCTTCATTATTCGATACTCCCATGCGTATTTTGCTCTCGAAAAATATTCATTTTATGCGAAACAAGGGATTATAGTTTTTTATTTTAGCTGTCCAGTAATCACAGACAAGAATCCTTAAATGAAATAATAGTAATAATATGATAGCAATCTTGTAACTTGGGGACGACGTGTTTCTTGATAATACTTTGTAATTTCATTCCTAATGATCATAATTTTTTTACCAGGATCCAGTGAAAGATGGTGAACAAAAAATAAGATCCGACTTCGATCAGCTACATGAAGATATTCAACAAGCATTCAGGAATTTGGAGGATTAAACAAATAAATGATAAAAATTATTTTCCGCACAGAGCCCCTTAATCGATCGATTGTTCGAGGATGCCGGGTGCATAGGGGTGTTCCAAACCCCAAGCAAAAATGAACGAGGTATTAATCATTGAATGACATAAAACACGTTATTTCTCCCCCGCTCTCGGTGCAGTCTTCATTTCTTAAATTCCTTTAGTGAACTTACCGACATATTCCAAGTATTTGTTGGCCTAACCCTCGGAATTTCCACAGAAATTGTAAATATCACCAATTATCGATTGATTCAGTAGTGAAGTAAATTGTGATGAGTCGATTTCTATCTTCTCGTTTAATATTAAATCATCAATAAGAATGATTTAGGAAAAGAATGTGGAAAAAACTAGTTTTCACTGAAAATTTTCTCATCTACGCGTTTTTGCCTTCTAAAGTCACTCTTATTCGAGATGAATGCACAGTTAAAATGAAATTAATTAAATTTGACTAATTAACTTCTACCATTTCACTACAGGATTAACAATCCGAAAATTGCGTATAAAAAATTTGCAGTAATTCATTTTATCGCGAGTGCCAACTCAACGTTTTTTGATCGAGACAATAAAGGTGGAGCGCCCCTGAGCCCCTGCGGAATTTTAAATAAAAAAAAGTAAAGAAAATGTGTTTCCGATCATTGTAAACTATTCCTTGTTTAGCCGTGATTTTTGATTTTTTAAACCTCAGTTTTAGTCCCAAAAATATGGGAATTTATTGTCTGTGCCGGTCCAATGAAAAAATAATTTCCATGAGTGCTTTTTTGCACGTTTTAGAATGAACAAGAACAAATTTAAAAAACTGGAATTCTATTTCATGTACAATATTGATGAAAAATATCTTTGGGAGAGTTTAACTGTCGTTCTATTTTGAATTGAAAGTAATTTTATTCCGAAAATGTCTATTAACAATAATAAATGAGTAAAAAATACACACTTTGCCTTCAATGTGTCAAGTGAATGGAATAAAATGAGATAAAACAGTCTAGTACTGATGTGAACGGCAGCTTTTCCATGGAGAATGAGGAATATCAATTAATTGAAAATCATCAAGTATTAGTTATTGTACCATATTATATGTTAACGTGATAGAAGTTTAATGAAAGAGTACATATAAGCGTTGAATAGATTTAAAGTGAAATTATGTTAACGTTGATACGTTAAAAAAATGCAAAAATGGAGTTAATAAAATTCTGATGAACGTTTTGAGACGTTTGTGCGTGTGTTGGCTTGACAATGGGTTGCTGAGTCCTAAAATGAGTGGGAGATTGATGGAAGGTAATGAGTCTAATAAATTTTCCGATTATTTTATAAATATATTTGGAATTGAGAGGTTTAGAAAAAAAATTAAGACGTTTTTCGTGAGAAAATTTCTCATCAATGAAAAAGATTATTTAACTTTCTTCTGAATCTATCACTTCCTGACAGATTTGTAAACCAATCCATAAGAAATTTTCAAAGGCTTGTTTCCTTTATCCCTCCACTCGACAAATCTCACAATGCGAATTGAAACAAAAACGATAAATGAATTTCCTCGGTTGTCCACTGTTTCGAACAGCTCCAGTATCATTTCCATTGTACGATATGTAAAAACAAAGAAAATAAAATGCAAATTATGCACAAAATTCCAGTGACTTTGGTTTTTTTATTTTATAAAATTAATTTGCACCAACAATTCTCTTTATTTAATCCTAATGCAAGAAATTAGGCGAAGAAAAATCAACCGTAGATTCTCTTACTTTTTAAATTTTGTTTTAATAATAATATAACAATAACCCCGGTATATACATCAACGATATATTACAATGTTCATCCATAATTAATCAATGAATTGTTTTTTTTACTTCAATCTACCGACTTGTACACGCAACCAGAACACAAATCATTCGAATAGAAATATAAATTGACCGATTTGAATTTTCAAAATTATTTTCTGCGATTTTCGAGATGATGAAGCAAAACGAAAATAATTTATTTAGTAAGCAAAAAAATCCGTCCACTTTGAGGGATCTACAATGAAATGGCATTCGTCATTCACAGCCTTTTGCCTCAACCGATGTATCCCAGTGTCTGTTCAAAGGGACGTGATGCCTTATTCGTGTACAGCGACCTATCGATTCAATCAACAGAATTCGGTATCGAAAAAGAGGGTTTTTCTCATTTTTTTTCTTTCGTTCTCCTCTTTTCTTTTCTTCTCCTAATAAAGATAGTCTCCAAATGGGTGACGGTATTTACAGTTGCTTGAGAGTGTTGAGAGGTGGATTAAGGGTCCAATTGAGTATTTGTCATACCGCCAGATCTCAATTGTGCATTTTCACGTTTGAGTTGGGTCAACATTTGCTTCAGGGTGGTCACTTCCTGACGAAGTTTCTCGTTCTCTTTTAGACATTGGGAGAGTCCTTGGTTGGCGCTCCGCAGTTCGGTTATGTACTCACAGGCCTTCGCTAGGATTCCTCCTTTACTCTGCGTGAACATGAAATTAACTGTATGAATAGCAATGTCGAATTTATACCAAAACAGAAGATTGTTGTAAAATTAAATTATTTCGTGATTCAATTCAACGTTAAAATTGGTTTCATGCAGAACATGGTGAAAAATGGGTTCGAGGTGAGAACTAGAGATTTAGAGAAATATTTAATACCTGGGTCTCATAATTCACCTTTCCCTCTCCGCTACTATTTCCATTACCATTTCCATTGATATTCGTATTACACTCTGGTATTATTTTCCCCAATTTAGCTATCCAATTATTGATTTTATCTCGACGACGACGTTCAACCTCGTTGTGAGTTGCTCTTCTTCGATCATCTCTCTGGAAAACACGAAAACAAAATTTCCACTTAAGAATATGCAAGTATCTTTTACAGTTTGGTGCAGATCACACTATTGATTCAACTATTTTCAATCACAAAATTTGTCAATTAAATTGCATGAGTCATTAAAATTACATTTTGTGCAGAATTATTATTTTTTTAACGATTTGTTGTCCATAAATAAATAATTGAAATTGTTCATACTATCGGAAACCTAATTTTTTTAGACATGAAATCGATTTCTGGTAAAATTCTGAATGGGAATAAATTTGTTACGATTCCGAACAAATGATTTTTATAGTGAAAAATTGATTGCTTATAAATTATTTACAGAAAATGCTTGTATTTTTCAAAAATTGCCATTTTGAGATTATTTAATTAATCTTACTCCAAAAGTAAACATTCTAATTTTTTTCAGATATAAAAAATGTTTTCCAACAGTTCAATATCGAGATTCAAGTTCATAACTGCAAAGTTGAAATAATAAAATAATTGTAAAATGTCCCGAAACTTGGGGTCAAATGGGGCTGAAATGAAAGCTCTGAGGTTCGACTACACAAGTAGAAAAGCATTTCACTGGAGAAAAAATAGCCAAAGTACCTGGATATCCTTAATTTTGCAAATAAATAAAAATGAGAACCATCGTTCATTTAATTTTCGAATTTGAAATTACGAGTTGGTTAACAAAAAAAAATTGATTGAAGATATGGTCTTGAAATAATTTGGGAGGAAAATCTTTTCTCAACTAATTGATCAGAGATGTTTATAGAAAAAGTCGCAGTAGCGATGTAAAACAAAATGAGTCTGACGGAATTCTTTTCAACTAAGATTTTCGGATGAATTTCTCTATGCTTTCCCCTCCGACGTTATCTATAGAATAATATGCACGACTTATATCATACCTTCTTCAACCCTGGTGTAGCATTTCTCGGGGCGTCAATCTGCATAGTCCTCGGTGTAAGTGATCTCGTACCTTGAGCCGTAGAAAAAACATCATTGGCATTCCCAATAACGTAGAATTGTCCATTAATCGGCGATGTCAAGACTTGTACAGCTCCATTCCCCTGCTGGGCAACTGGCAACTCAATTTCATTGGCAACAGCATTACCATTGACCTGCACAACTCTGTAAGCCAGTGTCTCCTGATAACGCATTCCGTCTTCCGCGTCTACAGTGTCACCTGCAAGGGGATCCAATGCTTCATCAGCGATGAAACATATGTCACTGACATTATGTATCTTTTTTTTACCTCCTGAGTGAAACAATCCAATGATTTCAGGAACAAGGATTAATGAGGAAATCCATTCATTAGCAAATAACTTTCCTTACAAATCATAATATTTTTCAATACGAATGCAAGCGAAAAGGGTAAAGTGAAGCGGTGAGAGACGAATTTTAAAATGAAATTACCAGATTATTACATCGCGAATAGCTTGGGAGACAAGAGATTTTCAGAAATTCATGAGGAGGTCTGTGTAACGTTTTTCTCTGAACTCGGTTATCTCAGAGATATTTGTAAAATAATGGGCACGAAATTTTCAAAGCTATTTTCTTATTTGACAGTTTGTTTGCCGCTACCTGGGAAACGGTGTCCGGATAAAATGTTTTGAGAAAAATATTTTTGAGAAAATATTTCGAAAACAATTCCTTGACCCGTCAGTAGGCGCGTTCTTTTCAGTATCTCACTCGCACTGCAGAGAAGTCCATAGGTTGACTAGCGTTGCGTGAGGGAAATGCTCATAACGCCCCTACTGACGGGGTAAAAGAGAAGAACTATTAGAAACGACTTCTTAGGGAAAATACCTTATGAAATTTCTTCGGAAAAAGGCTTAGGCAATAACGCATTCTTTCTGTAAAGATTATTTTTCAAGAGAATAATTACTGTCACTCCCCTGTGATATTTGATCAATTAGACTATCAGCGCAGAATTTTGTACATTTGACCTTTATTTCTTTTCATTTTTAGTTGAAAATTTGTGGAATTCAGCTATATTTCGGTATTCATGCGTTGGGAGGAATTTTTGTGACTGTTCATTGATACGCTATGAGTGAAAATCAATAAACTGGGTTCCAGTTCCAAAGTTGGATTGTCATGACAAAATTTTGAATATTTAGATTTTATTTTTATTTTTATTCTGCTCAAATATAATCGTGGAGTTTGCAATTTTTTCATACAGTTTTTTGTTCAATCAATTACTTTTCTCTTTTCGATTTCAGTCAACATCGCATTCAACTGAGGCAGTATCACCCTTGTGACCCTAGCGACTCCGTTTTTTTGGAATTATTGTGACCCTTATGACTTTCGTGAATCTAGTGCCTCCTTTTTTGTAACTCTCCCTTGTAATCTTTTCGATTGACCCTCCCTCTTAGCTCTTCTTCTACACGCAAATGGATGAAGGTAGAATTTTTCAAATATTTCTCCAGTATCTTCACCCAAAATATTGCAGGAATTGTGAAAAATTACGTTTTTGGTGGATGTACGGGGCAAAACGGGTCGGGTTAAAACATTTTCACACTTTTTAATTTTCATGAGGTATTTCACGCCAAATGAGTCAACCGATGACCCTCACCCTCTTGGAAATCGATGGCGATTTTTTCTACGATTGGGGAGGTTGAAAAACTATATCTCAAATTTTTTCCCATTTTTTCGGCAGCCCAGTTCGGAGATATGATTTTTGTTTTGTTTTTCCGTTTTTTTTCAATAACTCGAGTTCTATCCATCCGATTTTGATTTATTAAGCGTTAAAATTTTTCATTTTTTACTGCCTATAAGAATATTTCTAGTGAAATTTTTTTTTCGATGTCTAGATGCGCATAATAACGACTTTTCGAATAAAAAAGTTGAAAAACTTGAATTCTGCAAATTACGTCATGGATGATTTGTTTCATTTTTTTTTCAGTAATTCTTGTAATCAAAACAAGTATTTTGAGCCATCATACAAGTTGGGCATTGTCCTGGATCTATTTTATTTTCAATTTTTTCGTTTCGAAATTTCGTAAATTTGGTCGCAACACCTCAAAATGGCGTTAATTGACTTTGATTGTAGACAGTATGAAGTGAATTTGATGGTATACCTATATATTACATATTTTTTCGATACATAGTCGAAGTCGTTTTGTAGTGTTCTGACCAAATTTGCGAAATTTCCAGAAGAAAAAATTAAAAATAACATAGATCCAGGAGGATGCCTAACTTGAATAGCAGCTCAAAATACTTGTTTTGATTATAAGAATTACTGAAAAAAAAATTTGAATATCAATCGTGACGTAATTTGCAAAATTCAAGTTTTTCAACTTTTTTTTCGAAAATTTGTTATTATGAGCATCTAGAAATCGAAAAAAATAATTACTAATAATAGTCGTACAGGCGGTAAAAAATGGAAAATTTTGACGCTTAATGAATAAAAATCGGACAAATAGAACTCGAGTTATTGGAAAAAACGGAAAAATGTGAAAAAATCACCAAACTGGACTGCCGAAAAAATCTGAAAAAATTTGAGATAGTTTTTCAACCTCCCCGATCGTAGAAAAAATCGCCATTAATTTCCAAGAGGGTGAGGGTCAGCCATTGACTCATTTGACGTGGAATACCTCATATACTTTATATACCGAAAGTCGTCCAATATCCCTTAAGGCCGAGCGAAGACTTTTCAATTCAACCGCGGTCTCCCCTTAATAAATTCTTTTTAATCAATTCCACGACCTTTTCAATATTTTGAATCATCAGTATAAAATTTCCCGGCTCGTCTGTTCTCTGCCTCTTCGCTGCTGAATTCAAAACAAATGATAGCCATAACATTGCTGAACATAATTAAGGAAGCTCATGCAACGAGAAAAGTAAGTTGACTGTATGGACTAATCGTGGGATAGTCCAGAGGGGGGAAAATAAAACGTGCCTAATCTTACCATCGCAATCAACGATTTCAGCTTCCTCGATGACTATACCCGTGCTATCTTCAGCCTTTGTTACTACTCCACCACTGAAAAACATTAACAAAACATCACATAACCAATAAATAATGTCGAACAGCAATAATGAGACAACTAACGAACGTTAGTCTCATTGATTGTCATCAATGCCGTCGTAATCTCATTATAAAAACAAGGAAAACTTCGGTCTGTTTGGAACTAAATGCGCACTATAGGCAATAGCACGGTGACCTTGAGGTGACGATTGTTAGTACGTAATTGCTGATAATTTATCTGAAATAATCGGGTGAAAAATAAATGCTGCATACCTGACATCCTGCTGGTCAAGGTGTTGCTCCAAAATATCCATTTTTTAATATCAAAAAACGTTTGAATTTGTCAAAATTCACGTGAGCTGGTCACGGGACACGGCAACGAGGTCATGTGGTGCACAAGATGGCGATTTATGGCAGCGCGCGCATCCTCAACTACGTTGGGGCTCGCTGACGTTTTATTTCTCTGCCTGCGCGATAATTCTGTCCTTCTCTTGAGTAATTTTCTCACGTTTGGGGAGCTGTGACTAGATGGCGGTAGCGTCGTTCCCTCTAACTTTCGTTACTTTGAATCGTTCCAAATGATAGATAACTTAGTTCTTCCATTTTTAGGGGCAAATTGAATTATTTCAAAAAGGATAAGAGTGATCTCTTATTTGGAGGTTTACATTTTCATGTAGAAGTGGGTTTTTTCCCATTACGTGATTGATATTGGTAGAAATCGTATGGGAAAATTTGGGCATTTGAGACTTTCTCATGAAACATACCTTTAAATTGGAAATATTGAAAGGAACCGTTTTTATATGCCTCAAGTAACTATCTCGCTGCCTGTTGGTGCGAGAAATTCTCCTCCAGACTTATTACATTATTATTACATTATATTAATCCGATAAAATTTTTAATCTCCGATTTTTATTCTTTGCTATTTTTTCGTGTATTCTATCAAAATTTGAGGATAGAAATTGAATTCATGGGTATTCTTTCATTATTTGAAAAACCATATCAATTTTAAAACTTTCCAGAGACATTGAAAAATCGAAATTTTTATTTTCTTGCTGATCGGGTATCTCTGTTCTTTTTTTCACTTTCTTCCATTGAAATTAGATCATAGAAAGGGAACATATTGATATTTTTTCGTCATTTAAAAAAAAATCAGTTTTGAAATTTTTCAGAAAAATAAAAAATTGTTTTCTTTTATTTTCTGGCTGATCATCTCTCCCTGCATTTTTCTCATTTCCTCTCAATGAAATCAGATCATGAAAACGAAAAATTTCATTTTCATGATCTGATTTTATTGAGAGGAATTATTATATTATACTGATATTATTTAACATAAATATCTCTTCATTCGAAAATGAGAAAAACTGTTCCCACAATTTGTATACTACAATGGGAATAAAATCCAATAAATTTAATTTAATCTAACCACAAAGAAAAATTGGAAAGAAAACAATAAAATAAATTAATATAATATAATATAATCTAACGAAGGGCGCGAAGCCCTTCGAATATTTTATTTGAACAGATCGAGAGCCGTGAGAGATTCTCTCATCGCGTGCCTAAAGTTAGTGGGAGAGGCGTTTCAGCTTTGGGTATGACTAGTAGTAAGGAGCTAGAGTGAGAAGACCAGATTACGGACCTCTACCCCTACCTAGTGCGTCTGTAACGTGAGAGATTCTCTCACTGCGCGCCTAAAGAACGGTGGAAGGTTTACGCGCCTATTAATTAGATGTAATATGACGGTCAGCTGGCAAATTGATCATAATGTTGTAACAGGACAAGGTAAAACGGTTTAAGTGGATTTTTTTCTCGAAAATAAGATTTTTATTCAAATTGGCTCCAATGATGACTAGGGGTGGGTGTGCCTGTACCGCTCAGCGGGTAATACCGCTCACCTGATTTTCTCCACAACCATCAACTTGAAAATTTCTTTCTGTTCCTGATCATGAAGAATTTAATAGGATGTGATTGTCGAAAAAAATTCACTTTATTTACCACTTTAAATATGAAAAAACACGTAACGAAGTTTTGAGGTCTTTACAGTGCAACATTTGCGGACTTTTAATTAAGGTTTTTGATAGTTTCAAACGCTGAATTCTCATATTAAACTGTGGTTATTCGATTCGTGGTACTTTCACGCGTAATTTGAGACCAATTCGAACTCAAAACTCCACTCATGTCAATAATTATCAACAATTTTGTTGACGCCGAGCGGAGCCGGTAATACCGCTCATAGGATCGGCCACGTAGCTGCTCGACAGCACTCGAGTACAAGTTAGGTTGCGGCGCGAGCGATACACGCAAAACCCTATGAGCGGCATTGGAATCGTGCCGAATGGTATTACCCGACGGCGGGTAGTACCGCTCAATAGGCTCTCTCTTTTATTTTCAATTAATTTTGTGGATTCTAAGGAGCATTAGGCGTCTACGCTTCGAGAATAACGAGTTCAATAGTTAAAGAAGTCTCACAAATACGTTTTTTATACTCAAGTTGAAATATAAAATATAAAACTGGCATTTCCCCTTAGGTGGGCGGTACAGGCACACCCTCCCCTACAATCATTTTTTCGATCCTTGTGAAAACCACTTCGCTACTGAATTGTGTTTTAGAAAAACATGAGGATCAATCAAAATGGTTGATTAAAATACAAGGGGATAAATTCTGCAGGATATTCAATAACTATAATCTTTGAAATCGCTAACATTTGCTAACAGACAAATTAACACGATCCGTATCACCTCACATTCACGCTGATGTTTGCTGAAGTAGATTGAACGTTGAGTATGACAACTTAACGAGCTGTAAAATAATACAGATGTTGAATGACTTTTCACAAACGGCCTTTAGCGTAAATCATTAACTTACGCTTTTGAACGATTCGAGTGACATATCCACGATGGAGCCGCACTTGAAGACAATGGGATGAGTCGTGCGGGTCATTATCAATATCAAGCTTTGGATAGTGGATCCGTTTAACTCTGTCCAGTCCATCTCATAAATCGCATCAGATATACTCTCGCTCTGTGAAATACAAACAAAAATAATAATGAGAGCCACTCCCATGATTACAATTTCGTTTTTGAATTTTCTTTTACGAAAAAAACAAACACTCTGATAGGTTTCTAAATCCTTGGAATTTTTATGCTTCAAGTCACCAGTTTTCTAACAATGCACTGAGAAAAAATAGATATTTTTGTCACAAGGCCAAAATAGCTATTTTCGAGGACCGAGTGATGAACATAATTTTTCTTCACAATGTCCGTAAACGGTGGTGGGCGGTCACGAACTGTCCGCAAAATGATGTGAAAAATACGGTAAAAACCCCTTGTCTTCGGCTCGGGCTGCAAACTCATCTTCGCCAGAATAGTATATTTCGTAACGAGTGCAAAATAGTATATTTCAGCACGTGTGGGGCAATATCATCTTTAACGTGTGTGAGGTTTATATCACGAGCCGAAGGCGAGTGATATAATCCCACGAGCTAAAACACATTTTTTCACGAGTTACAAACAATATTTTTCATCACAATGTGGCGGAAATTGGACTTTTAGGCACGCGGAGCGTGCCGAAAAGTTCACTTTTCGTCACAGCGTGGTGAAAAAGTTTTTTTCGGCCTAATGACGAAATATACTATTTGAGAAGTACTTCTTTACCTGTATCAAACGTCTACAGATAGAATTATAATTATCAGACGTTTCAAACAATTCATCCTCAACCAAAAATTTCTCTTCTTCAATTCCCACATTCTTACCCTTGAATTAAAGAGTTCTAACTCAAAGAAAAAAATTAAAGGAATCGAAAATTGAATTGGGAATTGGAGAAGAGAAATTTTTGATTGAGGAATGAAACCAATTGAATTATACATTAGTTTTTATCCATTCGATTGACAACCTTTTAATATTGTCTGTGATAATGTAACTGTTACCTACCCCTAACTAACTCTAATGTCCTAGAACCCTCTTGTAAATGTCTACACGCACGAAAAAATTTAGTAGAAAATCCTAGCGAAATCGTTAGAAATTTCTATGGGATTTCTATTGAACTTTCTTTTAGTTTTTGGCCGATTCTATTGAAATGTTCAATAAAAAATATTCATTATAAAAAGTCAATAGAATTTAATTTTTCTATATAACTTACTCTATTCAGATATTTTCTATAGAATTTCCTCGGCACAAATTTTTCAATTTTTTTTCATTCTATTTTTAATTTCTTCTCATCAAGAAAATAAAAAAACGTAGAAAATTTGAGCCGAGGAAGTTCCATTGAAGATATCTCAATAGAATAAGTTATTTAGAAAAATCGAATTCTATTGCCTTTTTCTATTAAATATTTTCTATTGAACGTTTCAATAGAATCGGCCAAAAACAAATAGGAATTCCAATAAAAATCCAATAGAATTTTCTGACAAATTCGTCAGGTTTTTCTATTAATTTTTTTTATCCTTGTACCGAATCGTGAATTCACTTACATTAATAGTGAATATTTTCGGCTAAAAGCTTTCTCAGAAGGCACAGAAAGTTATATGTATCACAAAAAGACGATGTTATATCTTCGCGTTGCTTAAGACATTGGGGATAGCCTCAGATATGCGTTTCTTTATGTGTGGGCCAAAATTAACATGATGATTACCACAAGTGTCAGTTCATTTCCAGCTGCACACAAAATAAATATCTCCATAAGCATGCAGCCGAGGTAAAGTATAATACCAGATCCCTCTGATGACATTATATTCGTATTAGCCAGATTGTAAATACTGACGCATATCAACAGCGTACTGAGTGAGTATTGCAAAAAAACAACGGCATTGAACACGTCGTTTATTGTTTCAGCGAGTCTGAAAAAGCAGTTCTCCGTATTTATCATTCTACCAATGAAACAATAGATATAAACTGATGTACTAGACTGCAAAAATGAACCTGAGAATTATGAGATGGCATTTTACACATTCAGCTACTAATTTCCTTTCGCTAACGTACGCGCCCACAGTGTCGGATGTTTCCAGCAGAGTTCGAAAATTCACTAAGCGATATTTAAGAACGTCTAACTTGGCGCAGATCTCCATCATCATCCCGGGTACAGCGGTATCATAAGCGACAGCCATCGAAGCCGAAAACCATATGCTGATTATCTGCTGGCCATAAGCGAACCGATAACCGAAGCCCGAGTCGTGGTAATAAGGCAGCCAAGTGTTGAAGGGGAGTTCACCCTCCTCTGGATGTTGTAACAATGAGCCCACACTCACCATCATTGCGGTTACTTCTGTCAAAATTCCGTAGATGAGGGTATTGATCCTTAAAAAAATATTTAAACATTTGGGTAGGCATGAGAAACATTGTGGCGATAGGAAATAATATTTGGAATGTTGGGTAACAGATGGAACGCAGTGAAACATTGAAAATGCAATGTTTAGTAATCACGTGATGATTAGAGATGTGAGTGACAAAAGTGACCGAGTAATTTTGACCGTCAATTTCCATCGAATAAATGAGCCTCAATTTTCGAGTACTACTGCGGAGATTTCTACACCAGTGATGGCCATCAATCATTGGATTCTTGAATATTAAGAGAAGTTGAACCTTACACGGAAAGAAATATTCAATGAAAATTACGTATCTTTTCCGGAATTCCAGAGCGAAATGTGGTTGTAGGAAATTTTACGGAACTGTCACGGAATTTTTCCAGAGCGTTCCGTAATTTTTATCTGAATCTCCAGTGAAAAATTACGATACCGTCACTTAAATTTTCTGAGTCCATTCCGTAATCGGTGAGTGAATTGAAGTTTCGTAATTGTTACTGAATATTTCTCTCCGTGTACATTGATTAAGGTTTACTTATAATCACCAGAATTTAAAATAATAAAATCATTGATAATCTAAATTTCCAATTGAAGATGAATTAAATAATCGATAATATGGAATTGTCAATTGTCTATTGAGGAAATAATACTAAATTTCATGAAAAGGATTTTTTGTCACGCTCTGCAATAAGTCGAGTTTATCGCACGGTGCGCGAAGCGCTCCTCGCTTTCGGCTCGGCCTGTAAACTTTACATTCGTCGAAAACGAAATTTGTGCTTTTGTACTAAAATGTAGTATTAACCAAATAATCGTCAAGTAAACGTCTTCCGAACTAAATTATTGATCGACAATATAATTCGGAATTTGAATATTTAACCCCTTACGTACGGGGTCGATACATGGTATTGACCCATGCGAATGTGAACGCTTGTTTTCAAAACTGATTATTTCCAAATGTGAAGAATAACTGGATCAGACAAACAAAATTGGAAACCGGAATACTGTAGCTTCAATTAGATACCGGTTTCATAATTTTCCATTCATTAGAAATAATCAAATTTGAGTTGTATTGAGCACACACTACGCTTGGTAACAGAAGGGCCCCGTCGGTGAGGGGTTAATAATATTTAAATAAGATATAAAATTATTATCATTATTATAATATTATCATTATTTTTCTGATTTGATAGTGTATTATAGCTGTTAGTTGATAAGCTGATCGCATACATAAGCAACTTTTTTTTGTACAACTGTATTACCCCCCTGCCAAAGGGAATTCCCTGCAGGGCAGGTATCTGAATAAATAAATAAATAATAATAATATTATTTTATTTTTTTATCATTATTTTATTTTGTTACCATGAAAGAATTATTTTCGCTTTAGAGAATTTGTCGTTGAGCGAATCTGTCAATTCGGTATATGGGTGATTTCGCTATGTTATTGAGGCTTCTCAAATGATTTTTTTTATAATGCAAAAGACGACAAAAAATTTTAATAAATTAAAATAGTATATTTTAATAAATAAATAATAATAATATTATTTCATTTTTTTATTTATTTATTAAAATATACTATTTTAATTTATTAAAAAATTTTTTCAAGTCTTTTGCATTATAAAAAAAATCATTTGAGAAGCCTCAATAACATAGCGAAATAACCCATATACCGAATTGACAGATTCGCTCAACGACAAATTCTCTAGAGCGAAAATAATTCTTTCATGGTAACTCTCACTCTATTTTTGTTCCAGAGTTTCGTTCCTGGCGATAACGTTACTTGATTTTCGTTCCAAAGTTTCGTTACAGGCGGTAACGTTACTAGCTTTTCGTTTCAAGGTTTCGTTCCAGGCGGTAACGTTACCGGACTTTCGTTCCGAGTTTAGTTTCGTTTCCCTTAACGTTTCTGGGAACGAAACGCAAAAACCGCAGTTTCGTTTCGTTCCAAGTCCCTGGTTAATATTGATGATTAATTTAATAATTAAAAACTGAAGGATAATATTCACCAATTGATTAGTTCAAAATTTGGCGGTAATGCTAATTTATGATTATAGCTATCTCTGTTCTACACTGTTAACAATTTTTAGCTGAAGTTTCCAGTACACTTTTTGGAAATTTTTATCAAATTCAAGTTCCACTGAAATTTCAAGGAATTTCGTGAAATAATCAAAAAATTTCGGGTAATAATCAATGAGAACTGTCAATTTTAGTTAATGATTTTTTCCCCTTAAATTGTATTCAGTGGCACTGTCCTGAAAAATACTAGTCAACTGTCCATGAAATTTCATTTTTTTTCCAACACTGTATCATTGAGAACGGAGCCGTTGATAATCATTAATAAATCAAATAATAAATTATAGTAATTCAAATTGACTTATTCCGGACATTATTCCTGGTCATTTGCTCTACATACCCCGGTATCTATTGTCAAATTTCTTTTAATTCACTGGTGATAACATGTACGCAATATTTGTGATAATCTCATTTGTTACAGATTTAAATATATGTACCTGAAGAGAAAGGCCTAGTGCATTCGAAACGTTGTGCAAACTGGCTATATTTGTAAGTTTTATTTTTATTTAGGATGGATATTAGTATTTTATGGAGCAAAGACCCGAGAATAATGGTCCGAATAAGTCAATTTAGAGGAAGAAACTCCTGTTGGAAAGATAATTTCATGATAATAATTTAATTCAATTGAAAAGTTTTCCGATCGAGCCCTTGAATAATGACCCAAAAAATGAGCGGAATAAAAATGAGGGTCAATTAGCAACTGTACATATAGACGATTTTTGGTCTTTTTGGCTTGTGTGAAACGTAGCTTAACTGTGACGGTAATTTTGCATACAAAATTCGGTCAGGGTCAGAAAACGGTCAGAACCGATCATTCGCGTTTGGCCTGACGGAAAGAAAAATGGCGGTCGTTCGCCATCTCAAGTGATGATGATGTTTGGAATTGGCTTTGAGAAGAAATATGAGTAGAGTTTTTCTTGAAAAATTTTCTTTTACAGAAGACATATTTTGACTTCTTTGCTTAAGCCTCGTAATTCTCCAAATAATTACCAAATGCCGAATTCAACTCTTACCAAACAAAATGTTCCCTCTTGAACTGTATATCCTCCTCCACTGCATCCCTCGGCATACACGGATCCCTCTGCAGGGTATCAATGACATCAATAATTGTATCTCGGCAGACAATCATGTTAATAGATTTGCCACAACACGCAATGAAGGAGAGCAGTAAAAAATCGCTCATCACAGCAGCGATGCCTCCATGGTTCGCTATGATTCCTAGAATCGAGGTTGTAGTGAATGTATACACCAGAAAGATGGTAAATATGGAAAACCCCTGGTAAAGATACACCAGAAAGGGTGATTTCCAGCTGCGAGGTCTCCAGAGGCCGGTGGCGACAAAGACCCACCAACTCCCGGGCAAAAACCCCTTCACCCCGTCTTTTTCCTGTGTCAGCATAACAATTCTCTCAGAATATTTCCCCTCTGAATAAACGTCAACTCCCTATTGTCTTCCACTGACAGTCGTATTTAGACGATAATTATTTAATTTACTGAATAAGAGATAAACTGAGGAAGTAACGTTCCTACTTGAACAGGTGGAGATGTCGCATGAGTCCCTCCTCAAAGGTTTGAATAGTGCTACCGCAAGGGGTTTAATTATTTACATATTTACGGCGACGTTTTGCCTCTCCACGACAATTGTTTTAGTTTTTCCCCCTCGGGAAATTTGACTCATTACGAGGGTTATTATACACACCTGGAAAATTCCCTTCCTTATATTGATCTGCAGAAAAGTTGGGGGTGCAGGAAGAGTTGATGGACAGAGCTGTGACAGTACGTCAAAGTTTCCCGGGATAGCCATTCCCTGTTTAGAGGAAGTACTTTCTTATCCCGTATTACGCAAATTGACAGTGAGAGGAAAATATTGTTTCAATTTTGAGAGTTTTCAATCCCGTATTTCGTAGAATCATCTTTTAGTAAGTGCTTTTAGTTTTTTCTTAGGGATTCCAAGTACTTTGGCTTTTTTTTCTCCAGTGAAATGCTTTTCTACTTTTGTAGTTGAACATCAGAGCTTTCATTTGAGCCCCAGTTGACTCTGTCTTTGCAGCTCTGAAGTTAAATCTCGATAGTAAACCGTTAGAAAACATTGTTAAAAAACTGAGAAAAATATTCAAAAGTTTAGGAATGTTTTTGGGGGAAGATTGATGAAGTAATTGAAAAATTGCAATTTTCTATAAACAATTTATAAACAATCAATTTTCCACAATAAAAATAATTTGTTCGAAATCGTAACATATTTATTCGTATTCGGAATTTCAGTAGAAATCGATTTCACGCCTCAAAAAAATAAGATTTCCGAAAGTTTAAATCATTTTAATTATTTATTTATAAACAGCAGATTTAAAAAAAATTATAATTCTGTGAAAAATATAAGTTGAGTGACGCTGAATATTTATGATTTTTTACAAATTTTTCTCACGCAATTCAATTGATAAATTTGATGATTGAAAATGATTGAATCTATAGTGTGGTCTGTACCAAACTCTAAAAGATACTGTTAATCCCTATGGATTTCCGGAAAAATTATAAATAATTTATTGCATTCTTACAAGTTATTGAGTTTTTCTATTCTCATGTGTTGTTGATGTAGGCGACAATAACTGTTTGAATCAAATAAGAAATTATTTGTTGTTAATTTTTGAATCAAATAAGGAATGCTTTCACGAAATTTTTAGAGTTGTATATCGCAGAAACTATTTAGTACAAAATTTTACAAAAAAATTTACCGTATTCGGAATTTATCAATCTACCACGGATTAGTTTCTTAAGAACATCATAAGAACCGTTTTCTCGGAAGATGGAAAAATCGAGTTCGGGGGGACCCATCACGTATGAAAAAATCGTATAGAAATTTTCTATACGGATTGAGTATAGAAATTCTATAGGATTTCTGTATATGATATTCGGATATTTCTATACGAATATTTTCTATACGAATTATTTCTATACATAAATTTTTACATAAATATTTGTTTTCATACGAAAGATGTCTAAACGCTCCAGAGAACAACGTAAAAAAATGTCGCAACTCCATCGAAATGTTTCTATACATGTGGCAGTGGGTCGTATAGGATCAAACCTATAGAAATCGTATAGAAATAATTTGTATAAAAAATATCCGTATATCATATACGAAAATCCTATAGAAATTCTATACGCAACCCGTATAGAAAATTTCTATACGATTTTTTCATACGTGATAACCCCCGTTTGGCCTATGCCTCGCGTGTTAGATGCCCGCATTTCATTATTTATTATCTCCTAAACTGTGTAGTACAGCTAGTTAGAATTTTTTCAATAGCTGCGGACTATTATAAACATTATCTGTGAAAAAATAGGGACAATTTTAAGAAAAACGGGTTTTCTACGGATTGTAGTGTATTCCCGCTCATTGTATCATTCAAAATTAATAATGAATACATGATTCAACACATAACAACTACAAAAAATATTGACCATAATCGATTTTGTCCCATATTTCAAGATGAAACTATATTTTTTATTTTGACCTTAGAGATGTTGCTTTAACTACAACTCTCATCTACTTCAGACTTACGAAATAACTTAGATATTATAGCTTTCTGACTATTATTAATATACAATGATTATCTTGAAGTATCAAAATCAGTTGAGAAAGTGATATGAATCCAGTGGCGATTTATTAATTCGTACACAAAACTATTACAATGTCAATTCTAAAAATTTCAAGCATAAATTCGTAAAATATTCAACAACGATTGATTTATGTGAAATTTTAACAGATATTATTGCTGAAATGTCAGTCAATTCAATAAAAATTCAGCAGTAATTCGCATTTGAATTTGATGTGAGAGTGGAAATGATGCAATTAAGACGCCTATTGTTGTGAATTTTCAATGAAAATGGAAGATCATGATTACTTTGGTCTTGAGTTCAATTCGAAGACGTGGGGTTGAAAATAAGCTTCTGAATATTTATTAAATGTCCATAAATTTCTAATAGCCTAGGATCAACGAAGTCCTCTGCTTATGGATTGTTTAACTTCTACTCGATGCGACTGCAGCAGACTGAAATAGGTTGCCAAGAATACCTCTCAAGGGGTTGTTCTTCAGGAGGTCACCTCCTGCATGGAGCAATGAATCCCCAGTCTTTTCGACCTGATTCACTACACTATCGAGATCCCTGTCGACAACACCGGCAGAACTGCGGGCTACAGCGCCGCCAGTACTGCCGGCTACAGCGCTGCCAGCACTGCGAGCTACAGTGCCGCCAGCACTGCGAGCTACAGTGCCGCCAACACTGCGAGCTACAGCGCCGCCAGCACTGCGAGCTACAGCAGCCTGATCCTCTACAGATGGTCTTCCACTCACAAAAAATGCTGTGAAGTACATCCATCATTACAAATATATATTATTAATAATATTACAAAAATGTCATTTTTTGCAGTCAAGAAATAGTTCATCACTCACCGAATGTAAAGCACAAAAGGGCGATGATGAAATGAGTATTCATTTTGGATAAGTTTCTTCTCGACCACCGTGCAAGGGACAACTGTTTTTATCAGTCCCGCACAGGTGGTTTTTATGTGAATTATTGTGTATTTAAAAAATAATCTGATTGAATTACGACCAACGTCAGCAATAAGTCATTATTTTGGTTTGGACAAAAATAACAGCGCGAATAATAAGGTGATACTACTGGCCGATAATAAGTGACGCACTGCTGAAAACTGAGTGCTTCATCAATTTCTGATTCTCATGATTGTTGCATGCATATCCTCGTGCATATCAAAGCGGAGAACAGGTTCAATTTAAGAAAATAATCATACCCTAGGAGAAATCGAATGTCCAAGCGCCGTCGCCCGGACTTTCCAGAAGCGACTCTCGTATAGCATACGTGTGGCTAACGGCGAACGTCGCCGCTAGCGCGCCCAATATGCGAGATCAAATGTCAGGGAGGGCGCGCCCACCGAATATCGCCCTGTCGTTCAGAATTTTTACTAGGGTACACCGGTTAAGTGTCAAAATGCAGGTAATTTTGGCCTACTTTCGAAATTCATGTGAGTTTAACTCGGCGGTGTACAGTTTCTTTCTATAAGTAATTAGAATTAATACCTTCTATAATAATTCTATTCTTCTATTTTTTAAATTCTATTCTTCTATATAATTCGAATATTATAGATACAAAATATCAATTGTCCTTGGTGTTTCAGTAACGAATCGATATTTTCATTTATATCATTATGTAATTATCAGTTCGCAATGTTTTTGCTTCCAAATGGAAGCCTTGTACTTGACCGATTTTTCAATTTTCTAATTTTGATTGCAAATGGTCTGAAAGGTTACGAAACGTGAAGAAATGAAGTTTTTAGGGTTTTCTAATTTTTATTGCAAATGGTCTAGAAGGTTACGAAACGTGAAGAACCGAAGTTTTTAGGGTCATGTCTGTATGTAGGTATGTGACAACTTGGGTTTTTGGTAATTAACTTTTAGAAAATGTACCATAAATACGGTGAAATTTGTAGATAAACTAACTAGTAACTAACTACTGCACCGATTTCAATGTTTTTTTCTTAAATACTCGCCTCGATGGCCTCTACCTAGATCAATCAAAATATAAAATATGAAATCGCTGGAAAAGTTACTAGAATCAAGTCCAGAATTACTTACACGGAGACAAATATTCAATAAAAATTAAGTATCTTTTTCATAATTCCGGAGCGAAATGTGGTTGCAGGAAATTTTACGGAACTGTCACGGAATTTTTCCGGAGTGTTCCGTAATTTTTATCTGAATCTCTTGTGAAAAATTACGATACCGTCACTTAGAGTTTCTGAGTCGATTTCGTGATCGATGAGTGAATTGTGAGTTCTGTAATTTTTACTGAACATTTCTTTCCGTGTAAATCATTACTTTGTTTTGGGCCTCATCCGCTTTTTGGAAGTCATACTGTTTCAGTTTGATTAACAATTGCATATGACGTTAAACAGATGTTCTAAGAAAAAGAAGTCTAAATTAATAGAAAAATGTGGTCCAAGAAATATTTTCAATATTTGAGCGAAAAATGACGTTTCATTACACAGAATTGATTCGAGTCAACTTTTTGTTATACCTCATTATCCACCAAAAGTTGCTCGATGAATCCCGTCACCAACCTAAGACTTTTCTATTTCATTGACATCTTTCCTTTAAAGTCATGTCCGATAACGCGTTCACTTAACCCAATATTGTTCAAATAAACAACTTTTTTGTATATTTAAATTGTCAGTTTGTTATCAATACAACCCCGATTCCCCCAATCATATTGCTTAATGTCAGCAAACATTCCGTTCGCTTAAATCGGGGGGCTACTCACTCCCTGACTGAGTGATTTTGAAATAAAGTCGACTTTCCGTGATTTCGAGATTGATTTCAGTGTTTTCGGGAATAAATGAAATCAATGATTTCAGAGGCAATGAAGTAATTGAAATCACGATGAATAAAGTTCAATGAACGAGTGAGACCGGGGCAGAACAGGCCTTTTTCATTTTACAAAATCGGTTTATCACACAATGCGATTTAGTTAAACGTGTTCTTATTTCAAAGCTTGAACTTCTGGCGCCACTAGCACCGACTTTGGGCGATTGGAGGGGGATCACTGGCGACAAGACCTCTGAAATATCTGGCAATCCTGCCGTCAAGCCGGGGCGGTCGGTTCAAGCGCTTGAGCGGAGTTTCAGCCGCATCTCCGCTTGAATTTATAGTAGAGCTATATTCCATTCGATTTAAAAAATCAATTGCGGTTAGAAGGAAGGGTTGTGAAATAGTGGGTCCTGGACATCTACCTCTGCATCGATAATATCATGTGATGTATCAAAGACTGTGTTTGCTCAGTCAAACCTTAGATATTTTTAAGGTATAAATTACATCGAAATAGTTCCTTTATTTATTACCGGTCGAAATAGTTTTTTTCATTGTGACGTATCAAAGAGTTTTAGATTCCCAAGTGGCAACTCAGTCCCAACATGAGGACTTATTAGTATATTTCGATATGAGTGAGACGGAATTTTCACGAGATGTGAAGTTGACGGCCCGAGACGAAGTCGAGGTCGAGTGTCAAAAAATATATTTCGGTACTAGGCGGTGAAAGACTTTTCTGACGGATATGCGCATCCCTCATCCTCCATTCGCATGCATTGTCCAATGTTCATTGTTCAATATGCATTCAGATGGATGAGTATTGCCCAAATTGAATCCACAACTCCCTCTCTTTATCGATTACAATTTACATATCCCTCAATACTCTTGTCGCCCACCTCTACCCCTTATATTCCCTATTTCAATAATTTTTGAACAATTTTAAAACTGGACTATTTTATTTTGTATATAAATAATGCCTGTTGCTCAAACAGGACCTACAATCCCCTTTCATTGTAACAAAAGTCAGAACTTCAACTTCTGAATATACTTTCTTCAGTTTTTATATGTACATTAATTACTATAATGAGAGTAGTGTAATGGATCACAAATAATATATTTCGGTGAATGTGAAGTCTATTTAATTGTCACTGATACTTCAGCAATATCTTCTATACTTTGGATTGCGATGACATTCTACATACTTCTTTGGTTTTTTCAGTTGCTTCCCTTCTTTCCTTTCGGCAAAATGCTTTCAGCGCCACCACTTTTTCCTGATGAACCACCAAGTCCTGGCACAAGTTGTCCGCTACCACCACCAAGTCCTAAGAGACCACCACCGCTTTGTTGGCCAACCCCGCCTTTTTGTTGGCTACCACCACCAAGTCCTAAGAGACCACCACCGCTTTGTTGGCCAACCCCGCCTGTTTGTTGGCTACCACGACCAAGAAGACCACCAAGTCCTAAGAGACCACCACCGCTTTGTTGGCCAACCCCGCCTGTTTGTTGGCTACCACCACCAAGAAGACCACCAAGTCCTAAGAGACCACCACCGCTTTGTTGGCCAACCCCGCCTTTTTGTTGGCTACCACCACCAAGTCCTAAGAGACCACCACCGCTTTGTTGGCCAACCCCGCCTGTTTGTTGGCTACCACCACCAAGAAGACCACCAAGTCCTAAGAGACCACCACCGCTTTGTTGGCCAACCCCGCCTTTTTGTTGGCTACCACCACCAAGTCCTAAGAGACCACCACCGCTTTGTTGGCCAACCCCGCCTGTTTGTTGGCTACCACCACCAAGAAGACCACCAAGTCCTAAGAGACCACCACCGCTTTGTTGGCCAACCCCGCCTTTTTGTTGGCTACCACCACCAAGTCCTAAGAGACCACCACCGCTTTGTTGGCCAACCCCGCCTGTTTGTTGGCTACCACCACCAAGAAGACCACCAAGTCCTAAGAGACCACCACCGCTTTGTTGGCCAACCCCGCCTTTTTGTTGGCTACCACCACCAAGTCCTAAGAGACCACCACCGCTTTGTTGGCCAACCCCGCCTTTTTGTTGGCTACCACCACCAAGAAGTGCACCTACTCCTGGTAGGACATGACCACCGAGGAGTCCACCTACTCCTGGTAGGACATGACCACCGAGGAGTCCACCTACTCCTGGTAGGACATGACCACCGAGGAGTCCACCTACTCCTGGTAGGACATGACCACCGAGGAGTCCACCTACTCCTGGTAGGACATGACCACCGAGGAGTCCACCTACTCCTGGTAGGACATGACCACCGAGGAGTCCACCTACTCCTGGTAGGACATGACCACCGAGGAGTCCACCTACTCCTGGTAGGACATGACCACCGAGGAGTCCACCTACTCCTGGTAGGACATGACCACCGAGGAGTCCACCTACTCCTGGTAGGACATGACCACCGAGGAGTCCACCTACTCCTGGTAGGACATGACCACCGAGGAGTCCACCTACTCCTGGTAGGACATGACCACCGAGGAGTCCACCTACTCCTGGTAGGACACCGCCGCCTCCTTTTCCGCTACTACTCTCGGCGCTTTGGCCGCCAATACCAACAGGAAGACCATTCGTTTGTGCCGCTGTCAATTAAAGAGCAAATATTCTAGCTATTAGTATAAATATTATGAAAACATAATATTTATTATGAAGTAAAGGTGCGAGGTGACGTTACGAATGAAAAACTGTCAGGTCACTAAAATATGACCGTCATTGAGTCATGTCTTCTCTTGCCAATAAAACGGTCAGATAAAATTTTGTCATTGACAAATTATTCATATAGGTGCGACATGACGATCATCTTTTTCATCTGTTATTACAAAATTTTGTCGTTTTGTCATGTTTAGTCACGTGATTGTCGATCAGTTCATTTGTTCAGAGTATTTAAAAAATAAATATTCTTCAATTGTCTTCGATAAATTTAATCTTTCCGTTGAATAAACCTCTCTCTCTATTTTCTAATTGTCGCCATTTTTTAACTGCTTCGGCGTGTCATAGGGTTACAGTTTCGCCAACTTTAAGACAAAATCAGAAAAGAAAATTTGGACATCTGAAGTGGCGTCACCACTCAGATGCGATATGACCGTAAGGTGAGACGGTCACTTTTTTGTCATGTGACAGTAATTGGTCATTCGTGGGTCGGTAATGTGACGTGTCAGTGACGGTCACATGACCGCCATCTGACATGTCATAAAATTTGCTCGCATCTCTATTATGAAGAATTAAGAATTGTTGCAATTAAAAAGATAAAGATTTACTCACCGGACAAACAAACAATTGCGAATAGCAATACTAAGTATTTTTCCATATTGCAACTGCGTATTAACGTCTTCTTACGGAGGAAAAAGTGGGACTGCTGTTCACTTGTCGATTGCCAACATTATATATCACTCGAAACGGAAATAATAACATCCCAAATTTGTCTCTTCCTTCATTAATCTTATTTACTCACAAGTCTTCACGAGATAAAAAAAAACGTCTGTATGTATTTTTTTTAATACGCATGGATGCGGAAAGGCTCGGATATATTTTTACAATTCGACTTGCAATAATGCAGATTGAATTTCTAGAAGGTCGACATAACTGACGACCCGAGGATTTTCCGAGGTGAATAGTACGAGCTTTTTAGTGGAAATGGAAATATACCTCAAATTTTGTAAGGGAGCTATGAAGACAGTTCATATGAGTCTGGTGATAGCCTTCTGCGTTCTCTATACAGTCGAACCTGTCATAAGTTATACTGCGATAAGTTATAACCTGTGATATGTTATACAAAATCACCTCTCATAAGTAATATCGAATCCCCCACCGCTAGCCCATTTAAACGTGAATTCACGTATGCGCCCGAATAATTGGAAGTAGTTGCGCATGCTCCACCACAGGTGAGTATTTCTGAGTGTTAGTTGCACATAGAACGGGAAACTGATTGGTCACCCCTACTTTGCTTGAGAAGGGGAAGTGAGTGACAGAGCGGTGGAGGGGATATAACTTATCACAGGTCCATATGCCATTTCGTATAACTTCTGACAGGTTCTGCTGACACGTGAGTAGACCAATGAGAGATGATGCAGTCCACCGTGGGCGCTAAAATATACCTACTATATATAGGGATATTTAGTGATATACTCTGTATTATTTATGTGCGAGTGGTTATATGAGTGTAACAGGCTTTTGAGATAGGGAACAGCGGGGCAAAGCGGAGTAGCTAAGACAAAAAGGCGAATGTCAGAGCTTCTATCATACTTATATTGCGTTTCACCAATCACTATTCACATTCTAAAATTATCAATTCGCGTCTGCAGCGTATTACATTTGGGGGCACAGTGGGGTAGTGTCCAAAAACTTTAAAATAATTATAAATGTTGTTTCTTTGTTTTTCACCTTCCAATCTCCAAAAAACGACAAACAAACTCTGAAATCGGTAGGGAACGTCCCGATGAATCGATTTTTTAATTTGGGGCACGATAGGGTACGCATAAGAGAAATCTGTTTCTTCAATTTCATGTTCATCAACAGAAGAGCACATTGTAACGATTTTCTATACATTTTTTCAAATTTTCGTTATTCGCGCGTCAAGTTAATTTTGTTTTTCAAATTCATTATTCATTTTTTCCTAAAATGCCATTTTTTCCTTAATTTCATTTTTTTTCTAGGAATTGAAATTCTCAAATTTATTCATTGGATTTGTCTTGTTCATCTCAATTTTACAAAATCGTAATACTTCTAATTGATTGTTTTTATTCTCTTGCTTCAGTAGTAAAGTAATGTTTATGTCAGTAAACAGAGAGTATGCACAGCAAGTGGGATTCTTCTCATTTTTTCGTTTTTTCCGTCGTTACCGACTGTCGGGAGATGGGTTTAGCAAATTTATCAGACTGTTTGAGTCTAGATCATTGTGAGAACTCAGTTTTAATTAAAATATCCAATATCGCAGCTCGGCCCGATGTTTCAAAGAATTGAAAGAATTTCCAGAGTTCGTCCATTTTTTTTTAAATTTTTCCTCAGTATTATTAGAGTTTCTTTTAAGCTTTTTTTCACTTTTTATTGATCGCCTATCGATTCCTCGTCAACCCCTTGAATTTCTCAATTTTGGCCTTTTTTTTATGTACCCCATTATACCCCGGCCACCCCGCTCTACCGCGGTCGCCCCTATTCACAATATTTCCGGGACATTTTGCTAGGAAACTTTATGAAATGTGTACTGTTTTAAAAAAAGATATCTTTTCGCATACAGAAAAGAGTACGAGAATTTCTCTCTATAAATCGAGGGAAAAATTACAGTGCCGTAAAGAGGAAGGTGAATTTGATCTCCAAGCACCGGAAAAAATCTCAATTACCAATGTTGCATATATATTACCTAAAAATTCTCATATATGATCAACATCCTTGCGATATGTTATAAATTCAATATTATATACATATTTAAGAAATATGTATATTATGTATACTGCCATTATGCGATGGTATATGCAATATATATGTTATTATATAGAATGCTGTATAGCACGCATATGTTTAATACATGTATCATATATACATCATAGATTTATATGTATACGTTCCACATGTATAATTTTCCGTGCGGGTGATTCCCTCAGAGATGGTAAAAATGACGGCCAGAGGGACACGGCGTGGAGTTTTGAACTCTCTTTCAATCAAATTAATATGAAAAGTATCCATGAAAGGAGAATGAAGGTGTGAGTCAACTTATTTCGTTCGAAAATTTTTTCTTATCGGAATAGGTCGACTTAACTCGCAGGATGATAGTTGAGAATGAAATTCAGGACTTATTTCGTTTTTCACTTGAATAAAAATATAGTTCATTTTTTTCACTCAAATCGTTTATAGGGGATATGTAATACAATATATATAATTGTTTTCCATAAATAAGTCATTTTCGGAAAAAAACCGCCTTAGCACCCTTTATCGCTTCACTACTGAATTCATGTGCTCATCTCTCGTTCAAAAGGGGGGATATGGACACTCAGACTTTCATTCAATTGGACAGAGATTAGCACTCTTTTTTTTTGTTTCAGAAGAAAGAATAATTCGACTTAAATCTGCATCGAACTTCGCATTTTTGACCCTTTGTATTTTTTGTCGAAAATTTAATGGTTTTTTACATAAATTTTCTGACATTTTTTTTAAGCTCATTTGCTTCAATGAAATTCACGAAATCATTCATAAGAAAATTCTGAATATATTCAAACAGCAAAATGGATTTATAGATTATTTTGCGATCATTTTTGAAACGACGGGGTTTAGAGACAAATTACATCATACATTTTTTCTATCCTATGATAATCTTTACAAAAAATATTTTTGCTGAATTCGTCCCAACGTATTTCGTTCTAAAATGTTTACAAATTATTCTAGATGTATTCTTCTCCCTGATCTAATTTTAAGGGCACTCCTAAAATTTTACACCTTCAATTTGAAAAAATCTTCATTAGAACTTTCTGGGGTCTTCGTATGCAAAAAAAGGAAAATAATGAATACGAATGCGAGCGATTGTGTAAACCGTGACGAAATACCTCAAGCGGGTATTCCATCCCGTTGATGGTTATTGCAAAAGGTTGCAGAGCCTTATATTAATTGAAAACTGTATATCCCATACTTCTTTATGATAATCAATTGATTGAAGAAAAAATTTCGCACTCGTACGCGATTGGTCGCTACATGATTGAAAACTGGAGTGTTCAACTGTTTTATGAGACTCATAGTTCGAGTTCCGGTTCGACACCAGGTTCGGCACCTGGTTGGGCACCCGGTTGAGCACCCGGTTGAGCACCCGGTTGGGCACCCGGTTGAGCACCCGGTTGAGCACCCGGTTGGGCACCTGGTTGGGCACCCGGTTGGGCACCTGGTTGAGCACCCGGTTCAGCACCTGGTTGGGCACCTGGTTGGGCACCTGGTTGAGCACCCGGTTGAGCACCCGGTTGAGCACCCGGTTGAGCACCCGGTTCAGCACCTGGTTGGGCACCCGGTGGAGCACCCGGTTGGGCACCCGGTTGAGCACCCGGTTGGACACCTGGTTGGACACCTGGTTGGGCGCCTGGTTGGGCACCCGGTTGAGCACCTGGCTGGGCACCATCGAAAATACCACCTAGCGATGGTACGGCACCTCCGACGATTCCACCAAGTCCTCGACTTCCTCCACCTCCGATGACTCCAGTTCCTGGCAGGATACCCCCACCACCACCACCGAAACCACCGCCACCGCCACCACCACCAATAATTGAACTAAGAAGACGAGTCAAGGGTTCCTGTGCCGCTATCAATTCAAGAGGAAATGATTCAAAAAATTAAATTTGGTTCCGCTAGATCATAGTATTAGGGTGTCGTTTCATGAAGTCCGAAACTCGGGAATCATAGGCCAATGGACGCTCAAGATTCTCAAGTCTCGAATTTTGAACGAACGCACCCTGGGTGGGCCTTTCGAGCACTCTCTCGCGTCTAAGCGGCCCTTCTGTGTGTTTACATTTGATATTAACAAATTTCGTTATTGATAATCACCCATTCCATGGATATTCTCATCATCCAATTTGGGTTTTGTTCTACAGTTACTCTCTAACATTTCAGTCGGAGAAGTTAACTTCCCCCACCATTGACAACGTAAATTTGTTTGGGTAAATCAGTGTGTCCCTCTGCGCGACGGGACTGCGCAGTAAAATTACTCTCGGCGTGTGAGAGTGAAACAGGCCGATTCTTTCTCTCTGTTTATCTCTTTCTTAGCTCCGCCTCCAACGGAAGAGTAAGGTCTTTCCGAACATTTAATTCTTTGCATTCTGGCCCCGGAGGCTGAATTATTAGGGAGTAACCACTGTACAATATGGATCCTTTCACAATATAAAATTTACATTTGAATATTTTTGGGATCCTATGCCAACCACGTCTTCGTCGTGGATGCTGGATAATGTGAAGAGCGGGTAAGGCTCGAATTTTAATGCTTTATCATAGTCGTGAATTTACATAAAAAAACTTTATTTTTACTTCAATTTGAAAATTAATTACTTCCAAAGGGAAGGGGTGCAATAGTGTTGTATCATTTATGTGATGATATAAGAAAAGTTTCCAATTCACAATTGCCCATCTAGTCCCGAAAAAGTAAGAACTTACAAATTTTTTGTCAGGGTATGCTTTGTAGGCAAAAACCCTAATTTGTTAGCAACCTTAATTAGCCATTTATAAATAATGCAATTATCCATTTATTTTAGGCATGTATATTCCTTCAAAGTCAGTGCTGCACGAAGAGAAAAATCTATGACAATCCGGTGTTTACAGAAGTAACTGATTTCGAATATATTGAGCAAATTTGCAACGACTTGAAAGAATGCAATATAAAAGTGTAGATTAGACAGTAATCAACGATAGATCTTTAATTTAAAGGGTTTATATGAATAATGAAGAACAAACAGAAATTTTGAACAATGTATAAATCCAAGGACACTATAAATAATTTTCTAATCAACTGAGCACTTTAAACAATATAAAAAAAAAAATCCCGTACGAGTTCCTTAAAAAAATTAATGTGCTACCGACTAGTCATAGTACTTAAAAAGGGTCACCGAAAAATCCGAAATGTGGCAATCTAATTTTTAAAGATTTTGCGCTATTTTTCCGTGGGATTCCCTCAAAAATTCGGGTGCCACATTCGAAGGTTTTGGTGAACATGGTTTGATCCCATGGATTGGTGAATAGCACACAACTTTTTGCTAGAATTTTTTCTCCGTGTGTGAATATTAGGGAACAGTCTTGAAGAAATTATTCATATCAAAAGGTAGAATTATACTCACCGGAGAGGCAAATGATTGCAGATAGCACCACTAAGTATTTTCGCATGTTGCAGCCGTTAGTATGTCTTCTTAGAGAGGCAAACCTGAGAATGTAATTCACTCGTCGAGGAACAGCATTATATATAACAGGAAGTGGAAATGATAATAGTTCTTCGCGCATTAATCTCTATTTAATAACAGCTGTTACCAAGATAAAAATGTTTGCGTTTTTCAAAATGCAAATAGACGCAAATACACTCCTAGTGTTTTCACAATTTGACGTGGAATAACGTCGATTGGTTGGTGTTTATGCAGACGGAATAGACGATGCGATCTCGGGGACTAAATAGTTTTACGGAGAGAATAAAATAGTAGATTACTATGCCCACAAGAGAGAATATTACAACGGCATAGTGAAAGAGATTCCAACTGTCCCTAGATAGAAACCTCAATTTCATGTCTAAATAGCACACGTAAATATTGACCCTAACAAATTTAACACGCACATTCAATACAATTTTTAACGCCGTCATTCCACAGCACAAATCAGTAAATCACCGAATTCATTCAATAAATATCAAATTCAAATCACAAAAATATGAACAATAATATAGTTAATTGTATTAATATATATGTGCTACTCGGAGAGAAGTATTAAATAAAAAGTATTAGAAAATCGTCGAAAATTTTGGAACGAAATTGTAGTTCAATAAAAAATACTTTTTACGGAGGATATGTTACTATTCGTTCATTAAAAAACACGCCTTGGTAGGGCCCGAGAGAAGGCTCGAGATAGGCCGCGGATGACCCGGTACTGGCCCACATATTGGCCCACCCTCGGCCAATCTTGGCCAATATGATTGAGATGAGGAATGCCTCATCTCAATCATATTCCGTGAAAAATTTACGTGATTTAAATATTAATTATCCTGAATTCAGAACCAATTCAAAATGTCTTTCAAAGCAAACTATACTTATTTACGTAAAGAATCAACACAATAAATACATACATATCTAAATTTCAATCACTCATAAATAATCTAATTATCTTTACATATGACCATTGAAAGTTAATTAACAAATTATATGAAGCTGTCGTCATTTGATTCTTTCTATTAACGAAGACAAACTTAGTGTATTGAATTATCGAATTGCTATCACGGAAAAAAAAATCGGAATTGAGTATATTCTATACTCGAATGGGAGATGGGTATTTTAATTCCAGGATGATTCTTTCGTATCATACCGGGTTGTAGCAAGTCCTCTCACGTGTAATATAAGACTCAGGCACTATGTGTCAGAATATGAGGGTCAAAAAGTGGAGGTTAAAAAATGAGGGTATGAATATTAGGGTCAAAAAAAAAGGGTCAGAATATAAAAATAAAAAAGTGGATGTCAGGCAATGAGGGTGTAAATATAAGGGCAAAATACGATGATCAAGAATACTATATCACACATTTCACCAATTACGAACATCGTCATCGGGCATCATTGATCATTGGACATCAAAATTTTAATCATTCCCAATATTTCCCCACTTATTAGTAGCATAAAAAGAAAGTTTGTCCCAACTTTTTAGACCTTAAACTCAATTAGGAAGGGAGGTATGAGCATTCTATTTTTTTCTCCAACGCATTTTCAATAAGATTTTACATTCATAATAACTGCCGGAAAAAAATGATGCATACATTTATTCTAAATTTTCCGATAAAAAACAATTATCATCAATCTGTTTTATCGGTCTTCCATCATAGAAAATTATATTTTTCATTTTATCTTCGAAGTACAGCAAATTTTAGTTCGAAATATGTATCAATGAAGGTGGCATACATGCATTAACAACTCGGAAAAAATGAATTGAAACAATAAAAAATCTCACAGTACAGAACTTCTTTATTATCTTTAAAGAACAGCGTTAATGTTTAACGGCTCTGCTCTAGTAGTATATATTTAGCTATAAAATACGGTCGGGGTGGTTTTGTCCAATAACCACCTCGAAATTTCCGAACGATTGGAGTTGTACCTTGTTGTTAATGGCGGTAACGTCGAGCATCCTCTGCAATGACTGCGACACCTACGCGAAGATACGCGTACAGTATATGGAATAGAACCTGTAGGATAGTCCAAATAAAACTATTTCCCATTCATTTGATTTTTGTTTGTCGTAAAAAAAATGGTATGATTGAATTGTCTTCGGCAAGACCAACAACTTTTATACGAGCGAAAAATGTTGCCATTTAAGAAGACTGACTATAAGCTCGTAGCATAGAAACATAAGCAGCGAGGGTCTGAAGCCCGTCTGCACTGAGTTTCCCCTCCGAATCCTACAGCTTTTATTTGAACAATTTTATTGCTCTCCTTATTGACAAGGTATTAAGCCGTACTGTTTCAAATTGGACACCCTGTGAACGTTGTAGAGGACTCAAAACTAAAGAATACGAATTTTTTATCGGCTAATACGTGGTTTTGAGGGGGAAAACTATTCTCGTAAGTTTAAATAATTCTTAAATTTCACCTATAAGTCACTAGTAATAGCTCCTTGGGGGGAGGGAAGGATGGGGAAGAGGGGGAGTTAAAATTTGGGGGTAAAGTATTCGTGCAAAAAAAGTTTGGTCTGAAAAAAACCGTGATAGATCATAGAAACTTGAATTCTGTGGGATGGAATTCTTCTTCTGCTTTATGTTCAGTGGCATTGCGGTTGTTCCGAGAAAAGTCAGTGAAAGACAACAAAACTTACTCAATGACCGAAATTATTTAGGCAAACGCATTAAGTAAAAAACATGCAATGTGCCGGATATAATATCACTTTAATGTTATTCCTACAGTTTATGTGCGTCTGAAAAGGGAGACATATAATTATACCATGTCTGTTGATAACACACCGCTATAAGAGATAATGTATTCAAGCAATGTAACAATATTCATCCGCACGTCACCCATACCCAAATAGCAAGTTTGTTCAGTAATCATGCATTAATGATAATCGCAAATGTTTCTGAAATCTTGTTGAAAATTTAGCACAGTGATCAGTCTACCTGAACATCTTACGGAAAACCGTCTCTTGGTAATTGTATTTTGTTATCGTTTGCTCCATGAGAATCAATCCCATGAACGTTTATTATACTTGTCATGGCAACACTTGAAGTGATGAGTCTTGTAGAAAGTTCTGTGAACAATGAAGAACGCCAATTAACGATGAATTTCGAAGGCATATCAAAAAGGATTATGGAGGAATCCAGTGGTGTTGAAATGATTGAAGAATCCACTCTCAGTTTCATCCGCATCCTAAAGGATCATCTGATAGTTATTCGGATGGTGAGGAACTTTTGAAGAGCGCACTAAAGAAGACTCATGAATTGTACAATCTGTAAAATCGTCAACACGGAGAGAAAAATACACAACAATCTCGGAAGATCCCTTTAAAAATTAGTTTGCTACCCACCAACGTCGGGAGGTATCGGGGACTACGCTAATGATAGAAATGAAATACGCCTACACTGAGAGAAAAATTTCTTAATACGTAGAGCATATTTACTTGAGAGAAGTACATTATTTTCAATGGTTTAAATCTCAGAATGTTTGTGGTTCACGGAACTCAAATGAATTCTCATTTATCACTATCGTTGCGCATTATATCATGAATGTATTACATATTGAAATAGTGGAATTGCATAACAAAAAAATTATGAAAACAAAAAATACTTGACGATTGGCGATTCTTCTACGCGATTTGAGTGAGTGCATTTACGACAAAAAATACTTGAGTACAAGAATATTTTAAAACATGAGACCTTTCTCGGGCCACATGAGTTGAGATGTCTGGTAGAATTGAAGAAAAATTGCTTGTCTCAAAAAAATATGTTTTAGATATTAGAATTTTTTTTTCTCAGTGTAGAATTCGGGGGAGCAAGTTAGAAAGTATTTTTCCATACTGACCTTCACTTTTCCTCGTCCGGGAATTGGTATTGGGCCTTCCCCAAACTCGTAAAAGTGAAAATCACTACGGAAAAATATCGTTCACGACAAGTGTCATGGGATTTTTTTACTCGTGTGGTTGGCCGGTCCTCGCCTTCGTCTCGGCAATCGCCAACTCCCCGCGAGTAAAAAATCATATGGTACTCGTCCTAAAATATACTAATGTGGTGCTCTTCAAAGTCGCGTGCTCGGCGGTTCAAAATAGTATATTTCAGCACCTGTGGGGCAATATCGTCTTTAACGTGTGTGGGGTTTACAGCATGAGCCGAAGGCGAGTGATGTAACCACACACGTTAAGGACGAAATTTCCCAGCAAGTACTGAACAAAATTTTATGTCACGAAGCCTGAAACCGGCTAAATTAGACACGAGACGCGAAGCGTCGAGTGTGTAATCCAGCCGGTTTCAGGCATGAGTGGCATAAATTAGAGTGCCAATCCGCAAAAAATTTTCACAAGGAGCTTCGCACCCTATACGATATTTCAGGTGCATGTACATGAGGCACACGGATGGAGTTGATGGGTGATCGTGGACCATATTGAAAAGGCAAAAGAAATTAATAAAAAATGATGAATTCTCAACTCAAGGTAAACTTGTACATACGTGAAATGGCCTGGGTGTTTTAGGTTGTATCCCATTTTTTCGTCATTTTATCATCTATTGGTTCATTAATGAAGGAATAAATGATGAAATGACTTGTTTCCACTTCAAACCCTAATTTTCCCATAATTCATATATTTTTTTAGGTATAAACCCCATCGTTGGCGTATTTAGGTGGCTTATCAATTTTTGAACTCTTGACGGACCTCAAATTGTGCGTCACCGTCTATCTATCGGTCTAGTTACCCTACCCACCGTACAATATGCCCGTGATTTCTAAGATTGACTAGAATCGGAAATCTTTTTTGGGTCTCTAGATCATTTAACAATTGTTGATTTTATCTATAAAATAAAAGAAGGAAAATTAGTGAATCAATGTTTTCGTTATTTATTGTAAATAATATATCACAATGCAAAATGTTTCTGTTTCGTGTCCTTATGTCTACAGTTGTGGAATTCTATTAACTCAAGTGTTCATTATCGTCAATGGGCGTCTTGGCAACTCATACTGTTGCAGTGTTTGTTGTT